TTTTGAAATGCAGCGTTTTCCAACATTTGCAATTCTAATAGAAATCGCCAAAATATCAATTCAGAAGCCGCCGCTCTTAATTAATTGAAAGCGCCCGAAGTTGCAGACACAAAAATACGTATACGCACCATGGAAAATTTTTTGTCAATGCGCAGTATGCGAAACATTCGCAGACGAATTCTTTAATAGAGAAAAAAAATACAGTCTGAACATTGTGTAATTGAAAACGCGTCGATTCGTATTTGGTCGGAGCTACGGCCGTCAGTTGAGATGACGGTTAATTAGGCGTCGTCGTTGAAACAAATTCTCCAAAAACTTTTTGACGTTTTTCCACTAATTTGGAGCGCGGGCCGCCCGAGCGACCAGTGCTGCTTCCAAATGCGTCGTTTTGTTTACTAAATAAAGCAATTTGGAGCGCAAGCCACTGGTCGAGGCACCTCTTGTAGGTGACCGCAGATACATATACATATATATATTCATATATATGCATGCTATACCACTATAATTTGGCATTAAAGTTTACAACCCTTCTTGACTATTTGGCCGTTTTCACGAATGTCCACAGCATAAATTAAAGCAACATAATGGGGATATTCCAATATTATTTTGTCAAATTGTACATAAATCAGAATTATCAGTCTAGCTATAATTATATTATTGCATCTTTAATATTTTGAATTATTTACGTAATCCCATATTTATTTAAGTTCTACAGCGAAAATTTATATGAATATGTGTACAAGATATAGAAAGCCTTTGTAAGTAAAAGCAATAAAATATTCTATGTTTCTACAATTTTGCACGTATCTCGAACTTTGGTTAAATAAAAATTTAATAAATAAATCAAAGAGCGTACGCATGGTGGGGGACGTTGCCCCCTACACCAATTTGTCAATATGAAGTCGACCACATATTCATTATTACAGCGCATTATTTCGCCCTAAAATGGAACTAAATTGAAAAAAAAACCGTGTACGCCCTTAAATAAATCAACAAATTGTTCAATAAACTAACGTACAAATCATTATAGGTACACATAGTTTCGATTAATATTTTGAGTAAATAGTGGAACTTTCATCAAAAGTTAACAAATAAAAGGTTCAGAAAATTGCGTTACATTTCGATAATTACTATAATTATTTTGAGTTAATTTTCACACTGTTGAAACTAAAAAAATGTGTGTATGTATTGAATAATTTTTTAAATTTATTTAATTATTAAATAATTTAATATTTTAAAAATGAATTTTTTGAATATGTAGGGTTCCCTCTTGTTTCAGTTTTAACTGCTGGGCGACATATTAAAAGAAACACATCAATAGAAAAGAAATACATATTCATTGTTTTACAGAATTTAAAAATTATTAGAAAGACTATTTTTGCTCTTGGTATACTAATTTCCAGACAGGCCTTAGTTTTGGTATCAAATTGTTCAGAAATTGTTTTGCATATGTTTTAGATTTTTGGCATAAATAGCTTAAGGAAGAAGATCTTATTTGTAGTGCTAAGGTTTTTTTTTATAGTGATTACATACGTATACCCACTGATTCATGTTGGATAAATGATCGCCTAGCTTAATTTAAGCTTTAATTAAATTATTAAATCCCCTTACATGCTCAGTACATATGTAAGCCTTATATGTAAGTTCAAGCATTCAAATATGACGAGCTGCTTTTTGTGTTGTAGCTTTCAAACTTGTCCCATTTTCCTCTGGCTGTAGTGCGTGGCGTGAGGCTGCAGCTGCGCAATTGGCTGGAAAATTGCTTTCGGGTTTTCGCACAGGCTCACGACTTTGTCCAAAGCCATTTTTGCGACACTTTACCAATGAGATGACTGCACCTCAGCTCGTTTGTCAGCGCGTTGTAAATTTGGGTCTAACATAAAATCTTTTATTTATAAACTTAATACGTCGCTTTGGAACGCGACACAGGCGCTTCCGCTGACTAAAGGCAGCAAATAGAGGCATGGGCAGTCGATGGTTGCAGTCGGCGGAGATTACAATTGTTCTGTTGACTTAATATTCGTTAATATCTATCACATAAATCACAATGTTGTGGCATGATTTATGCATGGGTTTGATTCACAGGTGTCTCTGTCTTCGCACACTTGAGGCTCAAGGGGCACTTATCGACTTGGCATTCGTTTGTGTTAAGTATGAGGCATGGGATTTCTTAAGTCTGAGTGCGGAACGATCTTAACCCACATGCAGTTAGCTTCAATTTAGTATTATTGTTATGAGATCAACATATTATTAGTTTCAAATATACCAGTTTTTACATACAAGTATGTATGTACATAGAATCTAAAATTTGTTTTTCTTAAGTTCGGCTTTCCCTTCTTGAGATGTAATGTTAATTATTTATAGCTCACAGGTTTATCTTGAGGATAAAGAAAAATAATATCAAAAATATATATATCCAGACTTGAAGACTAGTAATGATACCAAAAAGTTGCTTAAAACAAAATGAGCTTTCTTTTATGTCATTCTACTGTATAATACCATACTAAGGATGCAGTAATACCCAGTTAGGAAAACCAGGTGCCATAAGGCTCAATCAGTCTTCCCCCTACTCTCACGAAAGTAATTGAAAGACTCTTCATGTTCAGACTCAGCGAATGAGTAAACTTGCGAAACGTATTGCCTGACCACCAATTCGGGTTCGGGAAAGGACATGGAGCCATCGAAAAAATTCGCAGGGTAGTACAGCATATTCTGAAGGATTTCAACGTCCAAAATTATTCCAACGGTGTCTTCGTAGACGTTCAACAAACTTTCGATACAGGCATATAGGGCTTCTAGCTAAAGTGAAGAGAAAATATTCCGTTCCCTACTATCTCTCCCTACTATCTCTCCTGTTTTTATCCAAAATATGGCACACGGTATCTCAGTCGCATGCAACCACAGCATGAGATCACAAGGGTACTGGGCTTACTCTTCTTTTCATTATACACATTTGACGTTCCAACACCAGGAAAGGACACAACAGCTACAGCTCAAGACAAAACGCTACTGACTTCATTCACTGACGATATCTGCTTTTTCTTTCTTTGGACGGACTCCAAGAATTCCAAGAGATGGAATATTCTCCTAAGTCCCGCAAAGAGCAACAAGACATGCAGAGCTATGGAATAATGATAAAGTGCTCCAAATGGACAATGAGGTTAAACATATAGGGATATATTTATAAGCATCGATTACTAAGTGCAGGCACAAAATGTATAAATATGCCAATCTGAAGGTACAGTATCTAAATCTGGGAAATGACTGCGACCGCAAACGGGTGTAGAGCTTCGTAAACGCATCGAAACGGCTGGCCAGGTAGTTTACTGATTTCTTGACTTAAAAATGTTATGATCGATTTTGTAAATAAAAATAAGCGCCAAAGAAACCAGACTCGATATTCAGGGTTTTCTTAATTAGAGAAAATTATTGAAGCAATATAATTTTCCAAAATTCTTTGATTTGAATGAAATCATATCCGAGCAGCAATGATTATATTTTTTCAGAAACATATATATGGAGCCATCAATCAGGAAACCTAATACATATGTGTGTATACTTCTAACAACTCATTAATACTCCACTGATTAACTCAAAGCAAACTAATAATATATTTTATTTAAATATACCATGTATGTATGTTTTCTAAACTAATTGCATTGTGTAACATTCCAATAGCTCTGGATTACTCTCCCAAATCAAATGTTAGTTCCATTTGTGCTGCAGTTCAATACATTTGTCCATGAACAGGTTAAGGAATAGCCCCAAAGTTCCACAAGTTGCCAACATGAATACTACTATATGTAGAGAGACACATGTAAGTTGTAAGTGTCGTGCACAAATTGTAAGCAGGCGGCGTGGCCGGTCGCGGCCTGCCAGAATTGTAAAATCACTGAATTCACAGAAACAAAACCATGAAAAATGAGCTATGCATTTAAACAATCATTTTTCGCGCGATCGAGCAAAAGGCGTCCATTTAAGGCCAAATATGGCAAAATGCGGCACGCCGAGGCATTTCGCACGGCCTGCAAAAATATGAAGTGTTTTTGGGGCTTTTGAGTGCGATTGGCAATTTCGATTGTTTTTTCGATTGGCAATTATGCAATTGGCGACGAGCCGTTACAAAAACGCGCCTAAATCGCGCTAAATTTTCAGCGTTTTTGAGAGACGCCTCACACTGGACCGCAAAACAAACAATTATACGGCATTCTATGTATACAACTAATTAAGTTGTTAGTTGGAAATGCGCGCCGAGGTTAGCGGCTGCTCCGTTTTGGTCAAAAGGCATGCAAAAAATGTGCATTTGAATTTAACTTAATTAACGCAGGCATTGCTTTCTAATTAAACAAATCAATATGCCCCATGACTGCTGTGTGATGTCCCCAATGAGCTCCACTTGACCACACCCCCCCCCCCCTGCCGCACTATACACCTCGCCAATTCCTTACTTCTGATGCGAGCGGTCAGTTTTGGGGCCTATGTTGATGATGTGGCACTAACGCGAGCCAGATGCACCAATGCGCCAACGAAAACCATTGACGGCAAGTGGTCTGCCTTGCCACGTCCACGTTGCGTCATTGCCGTGCCTGAGACAGACTTGCAGGCAGGCAGGCAGGCAGGCAGCCAGCCAGTGAGCGAGTGAGCGCGCCACAAGCAACAAGAATCGCCATCAATCGACGACTGTTTCACAGATACAGATACAGTAAACGCTGCCGCTGCCGCTACCGCAGCCTCTGAAGCCACAGATACAGATACAGATAGTTCACAAATTGGTGATGTTGGCCAGCTTTGCTGTCCACTCCGCGCATTCGGAGTCGCGTAAACGTTTAGATCGAAATCACTTGGCCATCTGTCCCACTGTCCAGCATTTGCGGCGTTTGAAGCGCTTTATGGCCGCTCAGTCGCTATAAAAGCGACCCAATGCACGCATTTTATTTGCAGTTGTATTCCTCATCTAGTTGATCTAGCGCACGCACCGCAAACTCAAATTTCAGATCGAAATGAAACTACTGGTGAGTGCGATTCACCTTTGCCACATTGAGCATCCTTTAAAGGCTGAATCTACTTCACCCAGATCCTTAGCACTCTGCTGGCCATCGCCAGTGCCGCACCTGGTTTGCTGGATTATGGACTCGGCCACACAGCGCCCGCTATCAGCTATGGCCATGCTGAGCCTGCTATCACCTACGCAGCTGCTGCTCCAGTGATCAAGTCCATTGCCGCACCGGCCATTAGCTATGCGCAGCCTACGCTTGTCAAGTCCTATGCCGCGCCTGCCATCAGCTACTCCGCTCCCGTGCTCAAGTCCTATGCTGCTCCTGCCATCAGCTATGCCGCACCTGTGCTAAAATCATATGCCGCTCCAGTGGCTGTAGCTGCTCCCGTTGTCAAGGCAGTAGCTCCGGCTACAAGCTATTCCCATTTCAGCTCGGTGAACACAAGACGAGAACGGCGTCGTAGGAGTTTGTAGCTAATGAATTCTTCTCCTCTGTCCAGGTTATTTCACATGCTACGCCCATCGTGAAGTCCTATGCCGCACCAGCCATCAGCTACGCAGCGCCTACCGTTCTAAAGTCCTATGCTGCTCCCTCTATAAGCTATGCATCACCCACCGTCGTCAAGTCCTATGCTGCTCCATCCATCAGCTATGCTTCTCCAGTTCTCAAATCAATTGCCGCGCCTGCGCTCACCTTAGGAGGCTACGATGACCATTTAGGTTATCACTAAGCAATGAATGACTGGGATGACTTTGACGGCAAAGGAGTGGTTAAAAAAAGGGAGAGGAGAAGTGGCGAGGAGGGTTATAAAGGAGAAAAGCTGTGAGTGAAGTGGAGGGACAGCCGCACGTTTCCAAAAGTATTTCCATGCGTACTGCATTCTATCCATATAGTACATCTATTTATTTAAGGCTCAAGCAAATAAAGAAAAAGTATTTTTTTCCAATTTCACCGCCTCTTACTCGAATGTCCCAACTCTAGCCAAGGTTGCTCCTAAATATCTCACATAACCGAAATCGGACACAACCATTTACTACTCAAGCTCCTACTTACATATGTATGTTAACAGATCGTTAACTTGAGAAGCATTAGGTAATACTTTCTGTGGGTCATAAGAGAGAGAGAGAAAGAAAGATGTAAGTCACAGGATTGATGACCTTTAAAATCGAGTGGTGTAAAAGTTAACAATATTGAACTCTAAGATAGAAACTTCCTCGAAACAGGAATTGTATATTCTAATCGGATTCTTTTAATTAATTCTTAGAAAGCATTAAAAGCTTTTTGATTTACAACAAAGGAAAAAAATAAATGTATAAAATATTTTCCGGCGTGGTCGGGGAGGATTTATTAGCCAGCTCAGCAAACGGTGCTCAAGCGCGTTTTAAAGAGTGAAGGGAGACAGCAGATTATTATAAATAAGGCATAACACATTAAGCGTGATTATTATAAATGAAGAATAATGGATGGTCAGCATGGAGGGTGCGTCATACCAGTTTTAACCTCGAAGAGAAAAAAGAAGGAATTTGTTCTGAACCGACTCAATCCGATCCAGATGTAAGGTGCAAATGCTAAGCTACTCGTAAACACCGTACTGCATGTAGTTCAGATCACCTTGCATTCAAATATTGTGCAGAGGGTCACTATAAAATTAAATAGGCTTCAATTCATCGGCAACCATGAGTATATACTCTTACACATATCGATCAGTATGACAAGACAAATCGATATAGCCATGCCCGCCTGTCCGTCTGTAAGATCGCAAGAATCTCAAAGTATAAGAGCTGAATTAACCAAACTTGGATATACCAATTATATTTAATTATTTAAGAATCACGTAATATATACATAGGAGTATGCGCCAATGTTTCAAAGCATGGACACACACAAGCTACTTGTATGAATAATATTTTCATTATTTTACACACACTATATATATTACATTAAAGAGTTTTATATATTCAACATAAGTTGCGCACTTTTTTTAAGTGGAGGAAAATAATGTATTATTATACTTTACTGAATAGTCATAAGTTTACCGTATAGATAACTATATTATATTCTGTAATAGAAAAGATATGATTGGACAAAAGTTTTGTTTTATGAAATGTATGCCAAATTGTATATTGGGATTGTTATTGTTATACCCGATGGTGATGCATCACTTGCAAATACGGGAATAAAGTTGTTATTCCAAAGCACAACGGTTGTATAAATATCTTTAAAACGTTCTTCTCAACCGTATCAAGCTCGTATCCATCCACCCATCAAAACGATTATTGAAAAACTGTTTGAATTCTCTAAGTGTGTACACACCAGTTGCCATACCGATAACAATACGCCTATCGGCTCAGCTGCGAGCTTTTAGAATGAAAAGCTTGAATATATGCATATAAGAATAACAAAAGTTAACTTAATCATTTTATTAGTCTGAACTTACATTGTACTATAACGTACTACATAAAACCAAAACAAATGGCAACACAACTTGTCCTAATTTAGCTTTTTTGTTATGTATTTATGAACATAACGGAATGTTTAGGGTAACGAAAAACAAAAACCTTATCAGAATTCAAAACATTCTTTTTCTTGTTATTGTTTGGACATAATTATAATTTATTTAATGATCAGTCTCCAAACACAAAACACTTGCATAGCCATCTATATGTGTGTGCATGTGTTTGCGTGTACTTCTATCTTATCGTGAAGCCCTAGTATTTGGTTCCTAATTTCAAAGTATATACAGTTTCTGATGGGCTAACAGCCTGTGGCAAGTGCCCAGTGCCCTAACTTTAGATTTTGTCGAAAAGCCAATATCTTTTTACAATATAAATTACACGACCATAGCGTAAGCTTAGTGTTCTATACGTATAATATAACTAAATTAACATTTTCTTAAATTATTGCCAAATAAAATAGTTTTCTTTTTAAAGGGATATAGCTTAACTAACTGTGATCCTAAGATTCCCGATTGCCCCCATCTTATTTAGTTTGGAAGCAACTCCGTCAATTGATTTCGCAAGCTGGGTGGCACCGTGTCAGGGAACTTTATGTCGAATGCAACTATCAGATCACCGCGACGTGACGGCTCTTTCGGGAAGGGTAATCCTCGCCCATTTAGACGCTTTACTGTTGTAGGTTTGATAACTTCGCCCTGTGTATTCACAGAAATACGCTCACCATGCAGCGTTGGAACTGAAACGGTTGTTCCACAGAGGGCCTGTTTCAGGCTAACCTGGGCACTGTAGCGTAAATCGCTTCCCTCACGTTTGAACTGCGGGTGCGGCTTGTCGCGTATAATAAAAATTATGTCTGCTGGCACCTTGTTTGGTGCTTGGTCACCCTCCTTGGGAAACGTAATCTTTGTGCCTGCCTTCCAGCCTGGCTTTACTGTGATGCTAAGTACTTTTTCTTCCTTCCGTGGCGTGCCAGTGGCCATAGACATGCGCGAGATTTTCATCTTCTTCGTACAGCCTCTATCGACTTCCTCCAGTGACACATAAAGATCATGCTCAATGGGCGGATCCTGCTGCTGACGCTTACGGCTTGGTTGCTGCGCATTGAACGACTGCGAACGGAAAGCGCCACCCATTGGATTTGCAAAACCAGCGCCTCCAAACATATCTTCGCCACCTATGTTCATAAACACTTGCTCTTGACCACCGCCGCCACCACCACCGAACACATTGTCGCCGCCACCAAAGAATATGCCAAATGGATCGGCGGAGCCAAAGAACTGTGCGAATGTGGCACGTGGATCCCCATGGAATTGGTAGGAGTATCCATTAGGTACACCACCATCTGGTCCACCAGGCGCTCCACCCTTTAATCCTTCCTCGCCATGTTGATCGTAGATGTCGCGTTTTTTCTTGTCCGACAGCACTTCATACGCCTCTGCGATTTCCTTAAAACGCTCCTCAGCCTGAGGGCTCTTGTTTTTGTCCGGATGATACTTTAGCGCCAACTTGCGGTAGGCCTTCTTAATCTCATCGTCTGAGGCATTTTTGTTTATGCCAAGAATTTTGTAAAAATCCTTACCCATTTCGGTCTGTCGCCTCTATCAACTGGAAAACAAAGAAAAACGTTCAATATAGAGCCAAGACAAAAAACAACACACAAGCAAAATCATATCAATGTGCGGTTTATTGTTTTCCCAACGCGTTTCGTCGTTGATTGGAATTTACTAGAAGCTGCGAGTTGTGCAATGACAGCACCCCTACTCATGCCGCGCAGCCACGTTCAACACCCACGAAATTGTTCTGCATTTACTGTTCTCGTTGCGACAATTCGCTGACAATTTTCTTTCAGCACACGCATAAATGTTATTGCAGCTCACAAATTAAAATAACATATGCAAACACCCAAACAACTTACCAATTAATAAACTGCAAACCGTGGTAATATTATAACTCTCTTTTGTTCACTTCTCAACCCAGAATTATAAATATTGTCTGTTTTTACTTGAATTTTATATTTTTTTTGCTTGGATTAAAAACACACTGAACGTATAAAACGTATTCAATTATATTTATTTGAAAGGTATTTGCCCCTTTTGATTTTCTGAATTTTCGTTGCGCTATATACGCACACTACTTTCGTCTTGATTCGCTTATTTGATAATGTGTAGAGCTGTCAGCTCTGCGTCCCTTATATAGGTTCGGTAGCAAGTCTGCTAGTAGAATCTTCTCGACTTTTCGCGTACATTAGGGTTGCAACGAGAAAGCAACGTTGTTCAATTCGATAACAATTGTGCCCGCCACATTTGAAAATACTTTACAATAGGTAACATAATCAAAAGCAGTGCCCAACTTATTGGTTTTATACACCTAAATTCTTCTTCGAGATGCAAAATATGCTAATATATGAAATGAATTATTATAGTAGTATTTAATAGCATTATACTGAAATTATGTTATCGATAAATGTATAAGAAAGGCTCACGATTTTCCCTTTGGAGATGGGGTATGTGACAGAGTAAGTTCTCACGTAAATCACGATCTATAAATAATAATTGTAAGATCCAATTTAGCTTTCACATATGTATATATACCAATTGTACTATTTCTACACTCAATTTCAAGTAAGTTTATAGATATTTAGATACAAACGGTAAAAATGTTCAACTAAAAAGTGTACAACTTAATATTCTTTAGATTAGATCTTATATATTCTTCATTTTTAGAAAGTTTATTATAAATATTTTTGTAGTTCGCTATTATATAGAAACTTTACTCTTACATGGGAGACCTTAGGAGAATGCAGAGTAGACCAAGTGAAATGTTTTGAAATAAAATGTTCTCACTCTGTCTGTGCACACAGATAGTACAAATAAGTGAACGATATATATATATTTAATGTCTATTCTTTTAAATATATTGATATATAAAATTTTTTGTTAAATAGCGTGAGATAATCGATATCCTCGTGATTATATGTATGCTTCTTCTTACATCGTAATCATTCTCTAGAAAATTGTATCATTTGCTTTTGAACTATCGATAGATTGCTCCACACAGCCCAGCTGCTGTCAACAAATTCACTTGGTTTTTTTCTTGGGCAAAAACATAAAGTCATATACGTTAATAAATCGAATTACGGTCTTTTGAGGAGCACGCGTATTAGCCTGGAGCCGATCGGCCGGTTCGTTGCATATCCACGCACAGAGCTCAGGTGAGTTAACACGTCTAAAGCCGTGTGGAACTTACAGAAACTTTACTGACACATACATGGCCTTATATACATACATACATGTGTATGTTGTACATACAACAATGTAACAATATGCGGCGCGGCGACGACGCAAAGCGGCACTTGGGTAGTGGCCACATTGGCTTCTGGCTTTTTCTGCCATCTGTTTGCCTGAAGGACGCACTGCTTAGACCTACATTTTTAAATTGTAAGAATGTACTACACATTCAAACATACATACAAACATACATATGTATGCATGACGGTCTTTTGGAAATGCGTGTCACGTTCCAATGCAAAACCTTGACCGATCGGCCACCGTCGGCCCGCCCACTGAGCAGTTCCTTGCAAGTGTGTTGCGCAAACAACAAACTGCATTTTTTTTTTACGGAAATCAACATTTGACGAGAGATTGTTCATCTCGTATACGCCTAGTCGACACCAAACAGATTGTGTTTGTTAGCAGCCTCTTAGTCAGACATGACGCGGACTGCAGCACAGCCTTTTGCATATGAAGACAGCCATTCATTTGTACACATACAAATAGGAGGTGGACGGGGTAGAAGCAAATCTATAAACATTTATAGCTTAGGGCACTTTCGCTATGAGTTCTATGGTGTGTTAAAAGAGCAGCGCACCACCCAACATCGTCTAAAAAATATATGTACATATGTGCATATACATAGGTCTGTATTTATATATTCATTGAGTAATTCAGCTCGAGTCGGTTTGAGCAGTTGGCCAGGGAGCTACAGACAACAACGCTTATTTTGAGCGAGCACCAGTGCCTGGCCCAGATAATCATTATCTATAATATTTTATAGCACGTAGTTAATGCTGTTATCAACATTTGCTGTGATATATTAAATTCATATATCGCCCCGATACGCAATCTTTTCGTAGAGTATTCGACTAGGCGTACACTCCTGAATCGACCCACTCATCACGTACATACATACGTGAAATCGGAGCAAATATTGGGCGCCAGCGTCAAAGATTCATTCGACGAGGCTTCTCGAGCAGTACACGCGTGAACGATGTCGTGCGTGGACGACGGGTCTTAGTTCGTACAAAAATCTCGGAAAAATCAGACGGTAAATTTCAGCAAAATAAATCTATGTACATACATATACATATATGCACACAATTCTATTAGAATACATATCGTATGAATTTATGTATGTATACAATTAGTGTTAAATCGTGCCTAATGCCCAAACTGTTGTGGTGTGTTCCGAATGAAGTTTTTCGTTTTAGCATTGTGAATTGCACCCAAATGAAATAAGAACAGACTGGGAACGGTCTAAAAATAATGCACATCTAGATTGCTTTCGTAATACTAGTCGAATTGCCATTTTTTGTTTGTGGGGCGTGCATACATATGCAGAACCAGTAAACTTTTCGAAACTACTATGTTCGGTTTCCGGTACTATAGTCTATATACATAGTTGATGATATTAAACACTTTGTCATTTTTCGTTGCGTTATAGCAGACCTCTAAAATTCATAGAACGAAAATAGTTTTTAAAATAGCACATATAAGCGAAAAGGCGCATCACACTTGCGAATATACTTGTATGTATCTCTAGAGTGTGATTACGACGAAATCGAAATTATTCGATATCGAGGATTGATTTGAGTGATTTCAGTTTTCCTGTCAAAATGTTTGAATTTGTATCATTCCATGTAAATGTCGAAGCAATGCCTTGATGAAATTTCTATCCGATTGATAGACAAGATAACCATAGACATATTTATATGTATATACATACATACATAGATATATGTGTATACATAATATATACAACCTATATGTGTATATGTAGAAAACCTTCGCACCTACGAATACCCAGCTACGCGCATTTTTTTGCCCATTCCGACGCAGCTGCCACCAGTCGGTCGCACCACCCGTCCGCCCCCATCATATGCTGTATTTAAAAAAAAAATTATTTTATTTTTTCTTTCAATATTTCGTGCTTTTTCTTTTCGTATGTGTCGCCGCCGATTTATTTATAGATATACGATTTTTTATTTTGATTTCTGTTCCTCGCGTACATTTGCATTTTTAGATCTCTTCGATATGTTTGTGTTCGACTATATTGTGTTCTAGTGTGTGTGTTTGTGTGTCTGTGTGGTGAGTACATCATTCAACATGTGTTTGAAATTGTTGCACACTCGGATTTTGCTTGTACAAGTGCTTCTTTCTATATGTACACTCAGCGACTATATGGCTCTGATCCAATGTTTGTGGTTATTTCTGCATTTGAAATTAATGCATTCATAAATTCCAATTGGTTTTGACTTTTAATTAGACTATGTTCACTTGAGGGTGCTTAGCAAAATGTCTACAACCTAAGGAGAAACTAAAAATATACACAAATGTGAATTGCTTTACAATTTATAATACATACTGTTGGTTTACATGAATACGTATCTTTAATAGTGATGTTGATATGAGTTTTATTTCGTGTATAGTGCAAAAATATATATTAAACGCTCATTTAAAGGGAAATATTTAAAACTTGAAATGGGTCTAATAAAGAAGTTAAGTTTTCAACAATATCACAAAATCCGCAACTGATAAAAATCAATGATTGCCTTAAAAACATATATAAGACAAAAAAATTCCATAATTTGCAATACGCTTAAAACTTAACTTTGTATCCGAATACGTTTGTATCGTAAACCGTAAAATATATCAACTATTTAATGATATTCAGACATCATTTAATAGATAATTTAATTTGTAGAAGTGGGCAGGAAAAGAAAAATTATATTTTTTAAAACCTAACATATTTTTGTTTTTAAAAAATATATTTGAAGACTTCTAGAAAGTTGATCTTTTAACTTATTAACTACAAATTATACGTGTTCTTTAACAAAAACTGTAAAACTGATACTACAGTAAACTCCGAATATGTGTACTACAATGGCTTTTTTCAGCAGTGCCATTTATTATAATACAAATTTGTGTGGAAAACAGCTTTCCTTTATACTTAGTTCAGTTTCCAAATATAAATATTACAAACATATATAATATATAATATAATTGACGTGTACAAAATAGAATATGTAAATAATGTAGGATTTATGGACAGTATTAATAAAGTTCAGCAGCGGAAAAGTGAAAAGAGCTCTTGTAATTAAACCTATTAAATGAAAATTGTAAACAAACATAAAAGGAATGCTATGGTCGAGCAAACAATTAAAAAAAAAAGAATTCAATTAAAGTTTTAAAATTAAATTAATAAAAAAAATATAAACGAGTATAACACGAACGCAGAAATATATGTTTATGTACAGTTTCATTGTCATATATGTAAATCGAGATTTCGTCTTTGAATGTCTGTCGCGTGTGTGTGTGTTCTATATGAGTGCAATACAAAGTTGAGTCAAAGTAGCAACAACAACAAGAGCTGCTGGATGAGCACGGACAGAGCATACTTTTAAGGCTATAATTTTCTATATAAGTGACCTTTCATGATGAATAGGACGCATAAGAACTAACCCAAATTTATCGGGTCAAATAAATTTCAATAATCACGAGAGTTATGAAAAAACACTAATAGCGGGGGAGCAGGAGGGTGCAGTGAAAAACTTGGCTTTATCGGACTTAAGGAGGACAAAGATAGTAAGCTTGGATGTTTATCTTCGAAATCCGCGCGCTTAAGGAAACAGACAGACGGACATGCCTAGATTTGCTTCCTTCTGTCTGTTTTAAATATATATACATACAGCAAAAACATATGTTTTACACGCCTTTATACCCTTTGGGCATAGCATACAAACTGGGGGTATACGCAAATAGATTCATACCCATGTATGTATGTATATCAACAGCCAAATTTGTAAAGTCGTCCATTTGTGATATCGTGCGTCGTTGCGTCCTAGTATAAAACGTACGGAAACAACATTTTTGAAAATAATTTTCAATTTTCGTTTCATGCCCGAATAAATACAGATTTTTAACACGCCCCCTCTTGCATATTGCGCATTGTGGCGCCAGAAATACAACAACAGCTTCCTTTACAATGTCGGCACAGTCTCATTTTCGATTCTTACATATTTATGTACATTGATATGTATAATTAATTCATAAGTTTGTGTATACAAGTGGTATATAAGTACATACTTACACATGTACGAGTACATAGTATGTACACGTACATACATATGTATGTATGTTGATATGAGACGTCTTGGTTTTATTGTAAAAACAAAGAAGTCAACGTCTGCGATTTGGAACGACATTTACACGTAAATTTATGACGGCTGTTGAAAAAAATTAAAAATGAAAATGGTCCCGGAATAATATATCTAGAAGCATCCTTCTCCGGGGCCAGCTACTGGTGAGCAGCAGTTTTGTTTATAAAATTCCGCTGTGCGTTAGTCACGACGATTTTTGTCGGAACATATAGCCTAGGCGTACATACATACATACATAAATATTAATGAGTTTTTGGATTGGGCGTGCACGTACAAATAAGGCGCGAAATTCGTATACAAGAAATGGTTCGAGACATTCGCGCGTAGATTTGCTTGGTTTTATTTTCGATTGGGGTCGCCAATGAGCGAGCGCATTTTGTGGAGTCATCCCAACGCTGTGGCGTCGCTGGGAAGGTTGTGGCAGCAGCTTCCTTATTTACCGACTGTCAATTGGTCAGCATTTTTAACAGCTTTTTGTTGCATCCCCCATCATATATATGGCTGTTGGTTTGACTGAGTTGGCGTCTGGCCAAAATGTGGCCACAACGTGTTTTTCGACGCTTTCATCGCAGCTGCTGTCCGTCCATTCAATGTGCCGGTTGGCAAAAATGATCCCTTGTCTGCCCAAGGTACGACCTCCTCAGCAAGAGTCAGGAAATGATGAGAAATTCGTGTCAAATGTCAAAGAAACCCACACTAAGTTTAAATGCATTTTAAATCATTTGCTAATAATGCTTTTTAAACGGTAACACAAATTGTATGGATCCAATTTTTGAGGCTATCGAATGCCATATTCAGCCATATTCCTTATAGCCAACACACATATTAGATGCTATGTTATGAACATGTTTTCGGTTTAATTTCTATTATATTGCAAATATATAATTTTACAGTTAAAAACTTGGATAGATCAGATCAGAGATTATTAATACAATATATGAATGAAAACTAAACAGTTTGTTAAGATATGGATGTATGTTTACAACTTAATAGGCTTCAAAGGCAATACTCATACATACATACATATATTGTATGTATGTTACATTTTCGACGTTGGCTCATATTTGTAATTTCGTTGTTGTTGAGCAAGTTGATGTCATCATCGCATTGATTATCCACTTGTTTCATTTGTATCTTTGAGTTTCTTGTCATTTAACTAATATATACTGTAAATGGCTTCTGAGCTCACATTTTTATGATAACTTACTATTTAAAACTGATATACAAAATTTACGTGTGGCTTTTTTCAGGCCTTTTCTAATTAAAACTACGCGCTAGGAAATGACGGACCAGGACAACGAGAGCACGCAATGTGCGGTCTTTGACCAGACACCCGGTTCGCAGCAAAAGAAAATAAATCTCGTCGTTCGCTCGCATTATACTGTCCAACGCGTAATCTCGGACATTAGCACGCAATATGCTTATTCAAAGTTTGAACTTCTGTTGCAGCCCTATGAAAACAAAGATCTGGTAAGTGATTTGATCTGTGCAATGATTTCTGGGATGTTATTAAAACAAGGTAATAATTTCTGCAGGTTTATCTCAATAAATTAGAGAAGAAGCTGCTGTACGAAGTGCCCGGCTTTGAGCGCAGTCTGAAGAACTTTTTGGTACTCCTCCCGGCCGGCACTTGGAATGGAGATGTGAGCAAACGGTATGAGCTACCCATGAAACAAGCTATAGTCAGCGCAAAATCAAATGCTAAAGCAACAAGCCAAGTGTCGAGTACAGCAACAATAAAAACACCAAGCACAGAAACTTCAACAGCAGCAGAGAGCACAGAAAGAAAAGAAAAGAAATCGGTGGCCAAAACAAGCCCCTCTAAAGCTGCGACAGATACATCGGCAGTGACTTCTAATGGCGTCACAGTGGAGAAAAAAAAGCGTGTAACGGGCGAGAAAAAGAAAAAGGCAGCCGTGTCACCGACTAAGAGCAAAGCAACTCCAGCCTCCGCTGCTACTACCGTCGTCGCCAGTGCCGTAGCTGAAGCGCCTGTTGCAGAAGAACCACCAACAAGTGTAGCTCCAACTGTCAGATCCATAAGTCCGAAATCAATTGACGAGAACCTTCTACTCCACCCAGTCATACACCCAGAACGTAGAACACCGGCAATACTGCAAGATAAATTGCCAGAAAATAGAATATTAATTTCACCAGTCTACAATAATACAGAGCCAGAGCTTTTTAATATAAGCCCCGTCTCGGATGCTGAGCCGCTGTCCGATGATGACCTAGCACTAGGTGCTTCGGCCAGTCCCACCCTCATGGGTCCAGGCTACGACTTCAGCACAGTTGGAGTATCTGAAGGTGGCAGCTCAAGTGCCGGTGATGGTGGCGATGGGAACGGTGAACGGTCCGATGTTGTAGTTGTCGGACAGGGGCACGAGCCAGCTTGGTCTAGTTTCTATAGGCGCAAATACGGAGGTGATGATTTGGGTTCGTTGAAGAATGTATCAACAGCTGCCGACTTTGTGGCTCTGGCCACAACCGAGACTGATAATGGTACTGGAGTTTCCCCTCGTCTCAATGGCGGACCACGTGGCTATGTGGGTCTGGTCAATCAGGCTATGACGTGCTATCTGAATAGCTTATTGCAGGCGCTCTTCATGACACCCGAATTTCGCAATGCGCTCTATCGCTGGGAATTTGACAACGATAACGAAGCCAAGAATATTCCCTATCAGCTGCAGAAGCTCTTTCTCAATCTGCAGACTTCACCTAAGCCCTCGGTGGAGACGACAGACTTGACTCGTAGCTTTGGTTGGGACTCAACTGAGGCTTGGCAGCAGCACGATATTCAGGAACTTTGTCGAGTCATGTTCGACGCCTTGGAGCACAAATTCAAAAATACCAAACAGGCAAATCTCATCTCTACACTCTACGAGGGCAAGATGAACGACTATGTGAAGTGTTTGGAGTGCAATACGGAGAAGACCCGTGAGGATACGTTTTTAGACATCCCTCTCCCGGTTCGTCCTTTTGGCAGCAATTCTGCCTATGGCAGCATTGAGGAAGCATTGCGAGCATTTGTGCAACCGGAGACACTCGATGGCAATAATCAGTACTTATGTGAAAAATGCAACAAGAAGTGCGACGCGCATAAGGGTCTTAAGTTCAAGGCCTTTCCCTATATCCTGACTCTACATCTAAAGCGCTTTGACTTTGACTACCAAACGATGCATCGCATAAAGCTTAATGACAGGTAAATAATCTTCGCCTCATCTTAGTTTTAGCAATATTTCCTCAACATCTTTTCGTCCGCCAATCTGTTTTAACCACTATTTCTTAAAAAGCTTTAAATTTTTGCGCTGTGGCTTCTTATTGTCAGACCACTACTACTATGTATATACTATAATCCCAGTCCATACAACCAGTCTCTTCGATTTAAAGCTATCACCTATTGCGGAATCTCCCGATTTTCAATATCTTCTTTATATGAAACTCAATCGGACCACATTTGATAGGTAGTGGTTTTATATAATCTAACGCATGCATATATGTGTTGCATTCACTCATTTTATTGCATTTAATTTGCAATTTGTTATTCCTGACAAGTTTGCACTATTTACGGATAGCCAACACAGATCAGCAGTCGTGGAATAAAATATAACAGATTAACTGATAGATATAATAGTAAAATATACGAATGGATAGATTGGAGGTCCATGACCATAAACGAAACAAGTCGTGTCTATAATCTGCACCAAGATTTTCCTCGCGACCGCCTTCTAGTTACAGCAAGAAAGGAATGCTAAAGTCGAGTGGATTCAACTCTTCAATACCCCGTACCCACTGGCACAAAAATAATTAAGCTTTATAAAATAATTCAAGCTGGGATAGCTAAATTACTTCTATTAATAACAGTTCTTTTTAAAACTGTCACTTTTTTTTTTATAAAACCTTTTACTCTTTTGCTTTCAGGGTAACGTTTCCGCAAACGTTGAACTTAAACAGTTTCATTAGCCGTAGCGAGAACGCTGAGCAGTATCAGTTAAATGGGAGTGGTGTGACCAACATTGACGATTGCAGCACTGCGGACAGTGGCTCGGCCATGGAGGAGGATAATCTAAGCAGCGGTGTCGTAACTACGGCCAGCTCAAGTCAACATGAGAACGATATGAACGATGAGGATGAAGGCATAGACATGAGTACCAGTACCAACAAGAGTGCGCATATGGAACGCCTGAAGCAAGAGTCGGGGCCGTACATCTATGAACTGTTCGCCATCATGATACACTCGGGCAGTGCATCGGGCGGTCATTACTATGCGTACATAAAGGACTTTGACAGCAACGAATGGTTCTGCTTCAACGATCAGAATGTCAGCTCGGTATGATTAAATGTGATGTCACATAATAATATGTACATATTCATTTGACTGCTTTTGTTTTGTAGATTACGCTAGAGGATATACAGCGCTCCTTTGGGGGACCCAATGGCAGCTACTACTCCAGCGCGTACACATCCAGCACCAATGCCTACATGTTGATGTATCGCCAGGTGGACGCGAAGCGGAACGAGAATGCAGCCAAGTGTGCTGACTTTCCGGAGCATATTAAGACCTTGCTGCCTAAATTGCATGCCGAGGAGGATACGCGTGTAGCCCGCCTTGGACGCCACACAACTGTTACCGACCTGGCGTTACCAGATCTGTACAAACCACGCGTGTATTTTTACAATCCATCCCTTAAAAAGTTAAAAATGACGCGCGTTTATGTCTCGCAAAGCTTCGATGTAAATCTCGTACTAATGTCCGCCTACGAAATGCTCAATGTGGAGCAGTTTGCGCCGATATCTCGCTGCCGTCTTGTCGCGTATGATTCATCCACGGAGACGATCATACAGTCCCTAGAGAACTGCAGTGATCCTGCGCTAACCGAATTGCGTGCTGCGCAGGACTACAGTCTTGACTTCCTGCTCGAGTTCCGCGCCGAGGACCAACAATTCGAGATTTATGAGACCAATGGCACTACGTGGTATGTGTATGTCGTTGATCTAGCAGCAATGGCGATGGACGGTCCCTTCCTGGTTTCCTCAGCAGCACGAGATCAAAGCGACGTGCTGCGCCACTCAATTGCGGTGCGTTTGCACATTAATGAGGAACAGTTTCTGCTTGCAACAGTGCGAGGCACGTACCGTAAGGCATTCGTTGCCTATGATCCGCGACCCACGGCCGAGGCCCAACAGCAACTACAGAACATGGCCAGCACACAATTTAAATATCTCACATACTTTTACTTGAACGTGCCTAACACAGATGCGTCCACTTTGGAGATACTGGGTGTGCCCACAAGTGAGGGGTCCGCAACACAATCCACAGCCGAAGTGAGTTTTAATTCTTATATTTTAGGAGGTGCTTAGAGTTCTAAAAGCCCGGAGATTTTAATTGCCATTGCTAGCCGAGCGATTCATTTATAGTGCGCGAATTTAAGAACACTTTTTAGGCCTGGCAGGTTCGTGTTATCAATATTTTATATACTCCTAGCTTCGCAACTTCTTATAGATGAGCATTAAGACATGAGCACCGACAAAAATAATAATACTATATTTGTGCGGCTAACCATACATTTATTTCAACAGTATCGGATACCCTTTCCCTTTTGAGTAAAGGGTGTAAAATGCTATCCGTCAAAAGTTTTTGAAAAGGGCTTTAAGTTTGATTACATTTGTTTACATTTGCAGACATCTAATGGTGGTGACGTGGTGGATGCTGCCCTAATGAATGGCAGCCTCGACCGACAGACTGGCGGCGATGCCTCCAATGACTGTGATTGGCGTCGCTACAAACGCGATCAACCGCCGGCGACAAATGCAACGGTGGCGGCAGCTCCTGGCGCTATACCTGGCCACGAGTCGAACTCGGAGGACAGCAGTCTCAGCGACGGAGACCGTACTCTTGTGGAATCGATGCAAAATCGTGGCGGTGGCGACAGTCAGGTCTCATCTACCAGCCATTCACCTCAGCTCTCAAGTCCTGAGGATGAAGCAGCTTCCCATGACGCCATGATGCGAGTACAAGCCTACTGCAATGGAAATAGTTATGCGGATGTGGATCCCAGTTGTCTACCGCCTCCTACCATACCGCACTTCTTTTATGCTTGCAAGATCGACTGCGTCGATGCGGCCAGCAGCAGCAACACAACCTCGGGCCACCAGTCTGACGATGAGGCGGCTCTGCGGAAACCCACGCGCTCCTTTAAGTTACTTGTGGGAACCCAGATGCGCATGGGTGCCTTTAAGAAGCACATTGAGCAGCTGATACGCATTCCGGGCGCGTATTTCAGACTGCAGCGGAAGCACGAAAACACAATCTCCAATAGTCTAAATAACTCGCTGGTCTTCCTAAATGAGGGCGAGACTTTGACAGTGGAATTGGGCAAAACACTGCAAGCAGATGAATACAAGGCTAAAATTTTTTTCATGCGATTGTCCGATTTGGACAATGAGACCGCCAAACTACCGAGCGTCTGCGAATGGGTTTACAATACAACAACCACAGTGGAGGCGGCCAAGCAAGAATTGGTGGGCAAAATGCATCGCATCGATGCCAAATATGCGACGCTGACTGTGGCCAATTGCCGCATTTGGCTAAAGGGCGGCAGATGTCCCATTAAAATACTAGCTAACGATGAGACGCTATCCTGCGATATGCGCACAATCATCACACCGGAGGTGGGTCAAACCTAGTGTTAAATACTAAACTCTTCCCGTTCCTCAGCGTTTTTGGAAAGTAAAATCACATCATTTAAACATTCCATTGAAAGATTTGTTTTTTCGGTAGAAATGTTTTTTTAATATATATATTTTTTTTTCATGCACAGTTCATTATTCAAGAGTGCGAGGAGGGAGTCAATCCTCAGCCAAAGGATGATGCGTTAACCATATTTGTGCGCCGCTGGTATCCAGATAAATGGGAATTTGGAAAATTCCAGGAAATCACCATTGATAGTAAGCGTTACAATTTTTTTTTGAGATATGGGATATTGTAAACGCTCACATTTCCTTGCAGAGGACAGTGAGATTAGAAGTACTCTCTCACAGATTTGCGACATACCTGTAGACAACATAAGCTACATGAAGGTATGCAGACCTTGACTTTGCTCCTCCTACTCGACCACTAAATTTACACTAATTGCAGGTCAATACCAACTTCCCCTGCACAAGTATATCGGCGATGAGCGTCAATGAGGAAATGCGCTGGTGTTCGGTGCCGGCCACTCTAGACGTCTACCCGTTAACCACAACACTGACTGGCAACATGTATTTATACAAGTAAGTTAGCGTTAACTTTGACAGATTGGCAAAATGAAAGTATAAATGTTTTCTCTCGCAGAGATATCAAGGTACCCGTGCGCGAACTCTCGCTTGAGGAGCGCCGTCAGCTGAGCGCCAAGGAAAAGGCTCGCCTTGACCGCTTGGGTTGCATTTCAACAACGCGCTACTCACAACGGCGCGAACGAGCGCTCAAAATTTATTTAGACTCGCCAGAAAAAACGAGCAATGTCACCGCCTCAGCGCCCATGGATGCATACGCGAATTAGATGTATCGAGTCTTCATTATTTCTACTGCTATTGGATGTGGTACAAAAAACCTCTTCAAATACAGACTTGTATACAATTAGCCGCGAATAACCAACTCACGCAAAAACCTACATTTATTTGAAGTACGCATAGAAATAAACCGCAGATTGGAAATTGAAAGTCGCCTGTTTTAGTTTAGTTTCATCTCAAGTCACAATAATCGTTGTTTAATTTTGTCGGCTGGCGCAAAGGACGACGGGCATCGCTTCAATTGCACACATTGCACAGCGGTCAATAAATAATTAATACATTTTAATCTTGCTCCTTTCGTAATTTCATACAAGAGTTCAAAGAAGAGACTGTAAACCTTATTAAAATACATATGCACGACAACATAATTGTAAAATGTGAAAATCTAAACTAAATTTACAAAATCAGTAAAAATAAACCCAAAAAATTATAAAGTGTATAATGTATTATTATGGTCCTTCAAACGTTTCAGTGGTGCGATCTCTACAACTTATGCAATTTGTTATAAGCTGAGAGTGTCACGTATCTATAATTATTATAGTAATCCTGCATACATCTGATCCTTAGTTCACATTTACTACTGTTCAAATACAAAATGAGTCAGTCGTGTTCAATATAACCGGTAGGCATTTTAATACTATTCAACGCAAGGCCCAACTCAATACAATGTTCCAGTTATTAACATAGTCAAAAAGGATATGAATTTACAAGTGGCTGAAATTGAATATACAAATTCCAAAATTTCAAGTCCATACCTTCTACACAAGAAAAACAGCACTCAATATTTATGTGTTATTACTAAACAAAAATAAAATCAACCATTCTTTTCTTTTTTAAAAATGTTAATTTTATTTAATACCTACTTCGCAGCGTTATTAACGTTTCTTGAATTACAATTAAGATCATGATCAGCTTAAAAGTTGTTAATTTGAATTTTCTTCTCGTTGCAATCGCAAACAAAATTAGGGATACATTTTATACGGTATTATAAAATGAAAAAATCAGTACAGGTAAAAGAGTGGTAAATAAAAATAGGATTACTTTAATCCGGGCTGGGTTTTTTATTTTTTAAAACACTGCCTTAAATATGTTTTTTACGTGGTTTTTTTTTTTTTTTAAATTTTCATTAAAGTTCTTAGAACCAAGAAAAATGCTGCTGTTTTTTTTTTTAAGTGTTGTTTTGTTGTGGTGTAGGGTCTTATACTCAACGAATTGCAAAAATTAAACAGCAGTAGGCAGCTTACTTATTCATCTTGTTGTGGGGACTATTGATCTGTTAGTTATTAGCATCGACGGCCACAATATTTTGCAATCTATGCCTTGGTTTCAACGGCCTGTGTTGATTGAACTTTTGTCGCCGCATCTCCATCTGCTCCCGCGCTACTGGTAGCGGCCTTCTTACCCTTGCCCTTGCCCTTCACGGGACCAAGAGGTTGCGCAACCAAATCCTAATCGTATAAAAAGAATATATAGATTAGTATTTCAGTACTTGAAAATTTATTAGAACACATGCCTTCAGTCCTTCCTGCGCAATGCTATGTTCGCTGACGTAGTTGTCCACATTGAAAGGTATTCCGGTAACCAAGTTGACACCATTAGGCATAAGTAATACCGTATGCTTGAACTGTGCAACAATTTCAGCTGCAATTTAAAAATAAGACAAACTTCTGGTTATTATCGGAGATTAGATGTTATATAGTCAAATTGAACTGTAACCAAATCTTAAGAGTTATAGCAGGGAACTGTAGCAATAGCATGTTCAAACAGAGGCTATATTAAGGTAACTGCTGAAGACACCAAGCATAGAAATTTTCTCTGGCAAAATGTCTGGTCGCAATTGGCCGCTTAAGAACCAAAAACGGAACTTTGTTTTGCCACAATTTATGACAATTTATATCAAAACTTAAGAGTTATAGCAGGGAACTGTAGCAATAGCATGTTCAAACAGAGGCCATATTAAGGCACCTACTGAACACACCAAGCTTAGAAATTTGCTCTGACAAAAGCTCTGGTCGCAATTGGCCGCTTAAGAACCAAAAACGGAACTTTGTTTTGCCACAATTTATGACAATTTATATCAAAACTTAAGAGTTATAGCATGGAACTGTAGCAATAGCATGTTCAAACAGAGGCCATATTAAGGTAACTGCTGAAGACACCAAGCTTAGAAATTTGCTCTGGCAAAATGTCTGGTCGCAATTGGCAGCTTAAGATCCAAAAACGAAATTTTGTTTTGCCACAATTTATAGCAATTTATATCAGAACTAAAGAGTTATAGCATGGAACTGTAGCAATAGCATGTTCAAACAGAGGCCATATTAAGGCAACTGCTGAACACACCAAGCTGAGAAATTTGCTCTTGCAAAATGTCTGGTCGCAATTGGCAGCTTAAGAACCAAAAACGAAATTTTGTTTTGCCACAATTTATATCAAAACTAAAGAGTTATAGCATGGAACTGTAGCAATAACATGTTCAAACAGAGGCCATATTAAGGCAACTGCTGAATACACCAAGCTTAGAAATTTGCTCTGGCAAAATGTCTGGTCGCAATTGGCAGCTTAAGAACCAAAAACGAAATTTTGTTTTGCCACAATTTATGACAATTTATAAGCTAACTTACTTGGCTTCTCGTATAGCACTTGGAAAGGTTCAATCATCTTATGTGAGACACATTCAACCACGCCCATGCGTGCTTTGGTCTCCTCCTCAAAGCTGCGTATATTGAAGGGCATGTTTCCATACTTTGTTTTTACCTCAGCCAAGAGTGCACGGGATGCCTTCAGCTTAAGCATGTAATTTTCTTCAGATTTCTTGTAAATGGAAACCTTTGTGTCCTTTTCCCGTCCCTGTAAGTTGTATACGAAAACGACAAAAATTTAGCAGGCATAAAGGGATCAACACTATCCCTAATTTTCCATTTGGACGTTCTCAGATCTCATAATCTTACAATCTTCGGGCAACACCAACACAGCATTGCAGTCGATATGTGCCAAACTGCTAACTAAAATATGTCGAGCAGATTGCCAAAGGCCTCAGGCCCTTCCCATATCAGCCACGTTGCCGAGCACAGCTGACCCTCAAGCGCTAGTTTTTAATCATTGAACTTGGATTGAACAAAATATAGTTTAAAATAGTGCAGAACTTACAACACCCTCGCCACTGCTAACAATGACATCAATGGCATAGACCTCATGCGTCTCAAATGTGCACTTTTCATGCTCCTTACGCTGCGCCTCACTCGGATTCTGTATGATCGTTTTCTCACCGTCGATAGTAAATTGCTTTAATTCGTGACTGAGCATGCCCTCGATAGGCTTGCACTTGTACGATTCGCTGATTTGTTGAACAGCTTCGGTGATAGAGTAGTTCTGTTACATTAAGTAAAAAGGGATATACAAGAGACCAATGTATTAATTATAAATATTGAACATGAATGCAGCAATAACTATTCAATGCAGTTGTGTGCAATATCGACCAAACATTTCAATGATTGAAAATGTTCAGTTTACGAAATTACCACATTTACTTTATGCAGGTTTTGAGCTGTACTGTGCCAGTTATGATAAAGCAACAGCCAATCCGTTGCCTGCAGTAGCAGTTTACGTATTAAATGGAGGACTACATAAATTAAAATGACTTCGCAAAAAAAAGGATGCTGCTAAGCTGTCACACAATGCTAGATGGTTGAAGGAGATTTACAATCAGCAGTTTGGAATACTTACACTGGCGCCTGACTTCAGCAAACGTAACGCAGCCTGTACAGCCCAGTACGCTGCCAATATGACATCAGCCTGCCGTCCGGTTATTTTCTGGTCCGCATTAACACCCACAACAACTGTATGTGCCGCAACCGCAATAAATCCGTCAATGTGAGCGCCCAAATCACTGTTCAATAGAGTGAAGCGGTTCAGTGTTGCTGTACAATGATAGCTAACCGTATGTGGGCACTTACATTTTTACCACATCGCCTTCCTTTAGAGTGTAGTCGACATCGTTCTTTGCTGGCGAAAAATGGCAGACACAATTGTTAACTGACAGACACGTGGGGAATGCGATACCCTTTTTCAACTCCTTCTCCTTTTTATATACCTTATAAAAAAAATAGAATGATACGTGTGTGGATGGTTAATACACTTTTAATTAATAATGCAATTGTTAGATGGCTGCCAATTGTCCTCAGATCTCATAATCTTACAATCTTTGGGCCCATTTGCAAGTCACACGTTTATGGCGAGCGCCAAACACACGTGGTAACGCGTGCATCAGGAAGCACGAGGTTGTTGCCAATCCCTGCTGCCACGCCCAACGCCCAACAAGCTCCGGTACCCTCAATAGCGCTTTTCTTAATCATTGGATATACATAGGTGCACATTTTAAAATTATAGATCACCACAACTTACTTTGCCGGTTTCTTCAGTCAGCAGATTGTCACCTTTTGTGCAAATGTCCCTTACAGATGCACCAGATACGCAGAGTCCAATCACCGTCTTCAACGTTTCTAAAATTAAATGGAAGTATCAAAAATAGGTGCTTAAATATAAAGCATATAGAGCAAAAAGGGCGCCTCTTGCTTGTTGGACGTATTTACGATTCCCCAAGATTTCTGTAAACGAGGACGGGAAAAGTCTACGATTTTTGCTCGAGGCTTCACTAGCAGCAACCCCAGGGGTATACCTTTTTCTTGTTTCAATTGTTCCAAATGCTAATACTTGCTACATTTTCGCACAACTCTTTCGACACACATTAATTTTGAGGTTATGCACGCTACGTGTTTCTTTGGTATCCCGCGAGCCGCCGCGTGGCTACCTATCGAATTTGTTGGTAAGTGCGACGTCAACGCAATGTACGCAACTGCATTGTTGTCGCTTTGTGGCCCCACAAAACGCAGTTAGCTTTCACTTCCTTTTACAGAAGAATATAGAGGGTGCAACTACTTACTATTTACAATTTCGCCAGCCAATTTGTATTTGGTAACTACCAAATCTTCGGCAATGGTCTTCTCAGGCTCCTTTTCCACGTCTGCCATTTTACAAAACTACAAATAATCTGCCCCAGCCACAAAAGAATATAGCGGTGCGCTTTGTAAGCGAAGCGTGTACGATACACACGACGATAACATGCATCGGCGTAAAATAAGTAATAATCGAAAGTGTGTCTGTGTGTTTCCGCGCCGTGGTGAATGTTTAACTCTCGCTCTCGTAGATGCCAGTCATCTTCTGCTGAAACAAATATACTTCTGCGTTTAAGATGTCCGTGCGTGTAGTTAACGACGAATCACATTTCCAGGCCGAACTTGCCCAAGCCGGCGTGCGTTTGGTTGTGGTCGACTTCACAGCAACATGGTGTGGTCCTTGCCGCCAAATAGCTCCGCATTTCGAACTGTTGCCCAATAAGTATCCCAGAGCAATATTTTTGAAAGTAGATGTGGACAAGTGCCAGGACACGGCAGCCGGTCAAGGCGTGTCCGCCATGCCCACGTTTATATTTTACAGAAACAGAACCAAAATCGATCGTGTACAGGGCGCAGACATCAATGCTCTGGAAGCCAAGATACAAGAACATATTGGTAGTGCAGATGTGGATGAATCTGGCGAGGACTACGGCCAGGGACTGGTGGGTGCCCACATTACATTGTTTTTACAATATTTAATATTTATTCCATTCCTCTGCAGATGGAGCTAAACACATTCATTTCAAAGCAAGAATGCGAGTGCTTGAACGAAGCCGACGATCATAATCTAAAGCATGCTCTGGCTTCCGCCGGCGGTTACTTGCAATCTGACTGCGATGAGCAGTTGATTTTGTCAATCACATTCAATCAGGCGGTGAAGATACACTCTCTGAAGCTCAAGGCTCCTCCCCAATTGGGACCCAAGGACGTTAAGTTGTTCATTAATCAACCGCGTACCATAGACTTTGACATGGCCGAGTCCATGAGCAGCGTGCAGGATTTGACGTAGGCTTCTAGCTGCAGCAAATGTGAAAATGTCCACTATATTTCTAAATACAATTTCAGCCTGGGCGAAAAGGAACTCGAAAACGGCCAGCCTGTCAATTTGCGCTATGTTAAATTCCAGAATGTACAGAACATACAAATATTTGTGAAGAATAATCAGTCTGGCGGTGAGGTGACGCAAATAGACTATATTGGTTTCATCGGATCACCTATTATGACCACCAAGATGAATGAATTCAAACGAGTGGCCGGTAAAAAGGGTGAGAGTCACTAAATGATGGGCCTGTTTCAACAATGCAGACAAAATGAACACACCTGGACTACCCACGAGGGCTGTTCAATTGAAATTTGGAGCGTTTTTATTTAACAATTGTAGTACGCATTTCTCTTTATTAACATTTCGACCTAAAGCTACGAAAAAAAATAACTACACAAACAAATGCATACAATGTTGAAATAGCATATTTTACTGTGTTTAACAAGAAAATGCCGTACTGTTTTTTCGTCACAGACTACTATGTCGCGAGTTAAGTTCTTTGTTCAGCATATTCCATGCGCGTTCTGCCTGCTTCTGCGTAAAGTCGTAATCCCATTGGGAGCTGAAAATTACATTAGATTTTGCTACAATTTCGCTATTGGGCACTTGGTTGGACAGACGTTTGCATGCCTCCTCTTCACTAAGCCCATTGCGCTCAATTATGCGCCGTACCGCCTCCTCAGGAGGCACAACCATGGACCACACTTCATGACACTCAGTTTCCCAACCAGCACGCAGCAAAACCGCTGCCTCTAAGACAACCACTTTAGGGGGTGTGGGTAACGAACTTAAGACAGCCAAACGCCTCTTTACTTCTACCATTAGTTCTGGCCAAACAATGTCATTGAGTGTTTGCAACTCTTTTGTATTTGAAAAGACTATAGGACCCAGTTTTGTTCGATCAATGCGACCATCCATAGCTAATATATGATTACCAAAGTGCTTCACAATCTTCTCATAGCACGTCTGGCCAGGCTCGTAGACATCATGGGCAACCTTGTCACAGTCAATGACATGGGCGCCTAATTTGCCTAAGCGCTCAGCCATTTTGCTTTTACCCGAGGCAATGCCACCCGTCAGGCCAATAATGTAGGGAACTGCAGGAAGATTTGGTCGAGGCTCAGGTTTACGCCATCGTGTGCCAAGAAGATCAATGCGCGTGTTACTCGAGCTGACCTTCGACTCGTGTATGCTATCGCTGACATTGCTTTCCACAATGTCAATTACAAAAATATCCAGTTGGCTAAGATGTTTTGAACTGCGAATCTCGTTGACCTTCTGGCCTCCACGAAAAGTTTCGGCACTTACAACAATCATGTCCATGTCCGGATCATGCTGTGTCGGCCCAAATGGATCATCTATGGGAACAATATCATACTGTAGCGTTGAATCAATATCCATGAGAAAATCACGTAGTTGTGCAATTCGCTCCTCTACGGGCAAAATCAGATAAGGCAATGTCTTAGCTATGATAAAAAATATAGTGATTGAGTAGCAGTTTCTTATATAGAATATGAGTCAATGTACATTTAGTCATGGTGGCTGTTGTAACGCCTACCACAAGGCGCTGGGTAGCACGTAGCACTGCCTGGGTCAAGAAGATCTTGTGGCCAATATGTATGCGGTCAAAAGTTCCACCTAACACTACATTTGGATAAACCTTTACCTCCTGCGGGCTGCTTTCCAACGTAGCCAAGTCATTCATGTCCGTGTCTTGAAGAAAAATAGTGGGCTTGGTTATGTTAAGGGTTCTTCGCCAACTCTCGCAAAGTTCCGGCTGATGTGCATCAGAAAACAAAACATCCACTGTTTTATGCAACTTCACTAAACCAGAAGCAGAATCGAAGGGCTTTAGAGGTGTCACCAGCACCCTCAAGTCAATATTATTGCCCACATAGCTACTACTGTCGGCATAAACCTGTGATATAAGGCGGCCCCAAACAGGTGGTGGTGGCGGTTGAATTTCCTGTTTTGCTCCACATGTTGACACATTTAATGCTATGTACAATGAGCTAACGTACTTCTCGATGCTCCGCAACGATGTACCCAGATGCTTTATATTAGACACCACCAACAGTCCCGTGGAAGCCATAATCCTTTAGAGGTTGCTTCGTTGTATTTACAACAATACGATATTTGAACATTGACCCACACGTACATCGATTAAAGAGGCAGCAGAACGCGATGTTTCGGATGCAACACTGTTGCTATCGAAACATACCAATCGAAGGCAACTCCTAAAAAGACAGACTATTCGGCACTGTACAGTGGCACACGCGATTGAAATTGTAATTGTTTTGCGTTTCTCATGTAATTTTAAAATCCCTGGAAATTGAAAACAGCACAAAAATGTCGCGGCAAGCCTTAAGACTTGACGCAAAAAAAGTGGTAAGTTGAATGGGCATGCAACAGGGATTGATATTCACTCTCCCATTTTAGCTGTAAGGTTAGCTTTGGCCCTAGACTAAGTACAACAACAATACTGAAGAGCCACCCTCAAAATCGGCTTCATTCGCTTTTCCAGTAAGTGTGTGTGAGTGCACAATAGTGCAACCTGCATCAGACTATGGAAAACCATTTTCACAATAACCGCACTGCAACCACGACAAGAATGAACACCGCCGCAAACAGCAACAGCAACAACAGTCACAATACAAACACGAACAATGCGAATGTTAACAGTGCCGCCTCATCTGGAGTTAATGCAGCACAGCCGCAGCCCATACAGGTCATTGGAATGCCGCTCCTGCCAGCGGGTGCCGCACAAATCATCATTGGCCAACAGCCCCAAGCGCAGACGGCCGCTGCGGGACTGCAGCCGCAACTGATACCATTGCAGGCAAATCAAATCATGTTGCAAGCGCAGCAAGCACCACAGATGCAAGTGATGCAACTGCCCGATGGGCAGACCATATTTTATCAGACACCTACGATTACTGCCCTCGATCCAAATGCGGCAGCAGCGGCGGCAGCAGCTGTGAGTGCGCCCACGCCTCACTATCTTAACATCAATGGGCAATTAGTGCAAATTACTCCGGCACCAAGTGCCGGGCAAGCGACAACTCAAACAGCATCTGCGGTGGGTCAACAGATAATTATGGTTCCACAGACCGCAATGGCGGCAGTGAATGCTGCAGCAGTTGCTGCCAATGCTGCCGCTAACAATAGTAATAATGCGTCGTCCAATAATGTAAGCGCACAACAACAGCAGCAGGTACAGGCACAGACAGTGTCCGGAACAGGGACATCCGCATCGGCTGCTAGCAACGCTTCCAATGAAGTGAGCACCAGCACAACGGGAACAAACACAATTGATACCGGCGAGGATGAGAACTCCAAGGGTGAGCCCGACGAGGAGCCACTCTATGTTAATGCAAAACAGTACAAACGCATACTAATACGTCGAAAGGCGCGTGCCAAGCTAGAGTCACGCATACCAAAGGAACGTTGCAAATATTTGCATGAATCTCGGCATCGACACGCCATGAATCGCATGCGCGGTGAAGGCGGTCGTTTTCATTCGGCGCAGGAGAAAGGTGACCAAGCTGGACTGGATGGCAGCAGCATGCCCTTAGCGCCTAGTGGAGGTGCCACACTGAGTCGGGGCACGGCACGAGCACCGCCCAAGTTGATAGCTCCACACCAGACGCCGAGCATAACGATAACGGCCATAAAGGCGGAGTAGTTTGACATTGGACGTTAAAATGTGTAGATTATGAGAGTTGCGAAGTCATGTTTTTATATTGGGCTTATCCTAACAGAACCCATCATCTTCGTTTAAGTTATAATAAGATACAGATCACTAACTTAAATATATTGTGTGTTGCTTGACAACTTATATTTATACGAGCATATCTTATGATAAATACTAAACGAGCAAAATGCGGTTTGTGTAGAAATGTAGCGCTCAATAAGACCAATATAAGAACAAGACTTGAACAAAACTAGTGTAGATATTATTTATATTATATTATGCGCTAATATTATTTATTCGAGATCTAAAAAATGGCAGGCTTTGATACAAATTTTATCAATTGTAGATTTAATAGATAAAACCTCTGAAATTCGTTTAACACAGTTCATATGCGAACAGTTTAAAAAATCGTTTCATTGTCCAAATGTACTACGATGCCTGAAAGCCATTAGCTCAAATTGTAAATATATATATTTTCGTTAAGCTTAGTAATCCGACAAATTCATTTATAATTAAGATACGGGGTTTTTAAAATTTAAAAAACATGATTCTCGTTTCATGACCGTTTATATGAATAGACAAAAACTAAATTGATACCTTTGTATGAAAGCTAAATAGCGATTGGACGATCTGAATTAAATAAAACATTGATCAGCGATCAAAGTGCTCTCTTGAATTGCACAAACAATATCTGCAATCAAAATACATTGCGCATATTTATATATCTTTCAATGCATAGAACTATGTAGTTTAAACTATTATAAGTGCTCGTTAGAGCGAGCAATAGAAATAATTTAGAGTAAGTGATTTAATATTGGACTTTAGCTCCCTCAAATGTACACAATTTTAAAATAAATGTGTATTTATGTAGTATATGAGAAGTAATCGCCACTGTTAATACGAGAGCGTCCCATTTGTACAATTCTTTTTTGATATATTGTGAGAAAGTCCTTGTTTCTTCATTGCAATTTGCTTGTCTGTTCTTTTCATACACACACAGAACTCGGAATTTTTGACACTTACCTATGGTGCCCTGGTAACACAAATGCTACGCGACTTTGAGAATGTAGAAGACGTTAACAAACAGCTGGAACGCATCGGATACAACATGGGCATGCGTCTCATCGAGGATTTTCTGGCGCGTACTTCAGCGCCGCGTTGTCTAGAAATGCGGGAAACGGCGGATCGCATACAGCAAGCTTTTCGCATGTACCTAAACATACAGCCGACCATATCTAATTGGTCCGCTGCCTCCGACGAATTTTCGCTGCTCTTCGACACGAATCCGTTGACCGAATTTGTCGAATTGCCTGCGGATTTGAGTAATTTGCGCTACAGCGCTATACTAAGTGGATGCATACGTGGGGCCCTCGAAATGGTCCAACTGGAGGTGCAGTGCTGGTTTGTGCAGGTAAGAAGGTAACAAATTTGCGTTTGCTGTTGCTAATTGTCCAAGTGCAAGGAAGCGCGTGCTTTAGTGTTTGTCTGGCTCTCACACCTTTTATACCCTGCACCCACTGGGCTAGCCAGTTTATAAAGTTTCGCTTAAGATGTTACATAAAAGTAATTTTATATTCCTTAGAAGGCGAAATACCAAATCGAAAACAATTCGAATAGTTGTCTTCCGCTAAAACAAGACTTTCTTTCCTTAAAATCCATAACAAGTTTTTTGTTTTAAAGATAGAGTTGCAAAATACTTCTGAGCTTAATAGGCTTACAATTGCTTTATTTTCTTAAGATATCGGCACATGATTTTTCGTGAAACAGGGAAAATTATTTTCTTAAGTTCTATGTTTTCAACAAGTCCTTTAAAATTACATAATTGTATCGGGGAAAGATCATCCGTGAATGTGTCTTGATTTTTCAAAAAATATTCGCTTCAAATGTAAAGCTGAATAGTAAAATAATCCTTAGTTGTATAGTATAGCTTAGGCAAAGGGCGAGTGTAAACATAATGCACCAACTGGGTGCAGGGTAGTCCTATAGTCGATAAATCTCGACAATAGCCATCTTACTTGTTCATTTCTGCTTCGCAGGATCAACTGAAAGGCGACAATGTGACGGAGTTGCGTGTTAAGTTCGTGCGCCGTCTAGAGGAAGCCATACCAGCTGGCGAGGATTAGATAAGGTAGAGTTCAAATCAAGTTAGGGGCGTTTATTTCATATGTTGTGTGTTCAGTGTGCGGCGTGGTATTAGAAAAGGTTTAGCGTCATTTTTATAAAGCTGCATTCCGGATCGCGCTCAAAATATTAACAAAAATACATCCATAACAAAGAATTATAAAAAACAGCAGTTTTATTTTTATGGTTTATTCGACTTTTACAAATGATATCCTTGATTATAATATTTGTATTTATGTATTTATAAATTTAGTGTAATATGAAGCATTAAATCTGATATAAATGGTTAACATAGCAAAAAAACAAAAATATTATACAATTTTGTATTATTGGCGGTTAGTTTAAAAGTGCACCGAGAAAAGAGTCCCTCGATAAACAGATGTAGATTTGGCTATTTCAAAAGTTATTTAAAGGCAATAAATAATTTTGGAAAATTGTATAAGTTTCTGGTACATCCCGGTTGGAGTATAACTTGGATGGATTTCTTCTGGGATCTACATTTTGACAAATGGTTTTTGGACATTAAGGAATTCAGTGTTAAGAACATAAGAATGCTGGAACAATCTCAATTTCTAAAACCTTGGACCTATACGACAAATATTTTGCCATTTCGTACGAGTACTTACATATATATTTTAATTTTTTGAATAACAAAAGACAATACTTAAAAGGCACAATACTTGGTTATAAGGTTTTGGTCTCACATGTTCGGATCATTAGGCATTGCAAAAATGTACAAACTTTGATTATTTTGTTGGCTTAGTTCTGTTGAGGGCAAAGCATTAGGTTCAGATTCCGGCGCGTAAGAACTTTGCGCAGAGCTTGCAGCGTTTTGATGCAGATGACAACACAGCAGCCGTTGGCCACGCCCTCGGCGGGACTCTTGCAAGTGCAAGCGTTGCTCTTCAAGGCATTGGTGGCGCTCGCGGTTGTGGCGGTGACGGTGGTAGGTGGCGGCGGTGCAGGCTTATTCCCGGAACAGCAACCATAACTAGGCGGTGCAGTCGATCCGCCGCAACAGTTCTCTGTTGTTGGCGCGACCTTGGGCGCACAGCAACCACTTACTGGCGGCGCGGGCGTACTTGCCGAACAGCATCCACCAGCTGCTGGAAGATTGACCGGCGAAGGCTTTGTTGCACCGCCACCACAGCAACTACCACCACCGCCTGCACCACCGCTACTCATGGAAGCCAAATTTTGCAGCAGCAAAGCAACATCCTCTATGTTTTGATTCATTTCCGCCTCACGCTTACTCACTTTTTTCATGACGTTGGTACTGCCACAGATTCGTTTTCCACCGTTCGTCCTCGTCATTGTTGTGGTCGCCACTTTTGACATTGCTGCTTTGCCGTTTGTTTGGTTTATGGCAGCCGGTCCTGGCCCGCATTCGCTAGCAACACAATCTCCACCATTGCAGTTCTGCTTTGAATCGCACTTACAATTGGTACAATTGCAGATGCCTGCATCTGCCGTGATCTGTTTGAGTGTTGGCTTATTGTCCCTTATATCCAATTCGACCAGACCAGAGGCATCGTCAGGCACCTGCGCCGCTTGATGCAGCGTCGCCTGCAACAATGCACTGTTGTTGTCAATGGTCATGAGTATATCGTTAAGTAACGACTCAGTTTCCATGTCTTCATCATTGTCAAGACTGTCGTCCTTTAATAGATCCTCAATGTTCTGCTGGTTAAGTTCCAGCGATGTCATTGTAGGATTGTTTGTTGCGTTTGGCACCATTTCCATATCCGCAGCTGGCGGCGTAGACATCGTATCCATTTGGCCGCTCACTGCATTGCCAAAATTCGATTTCAGATCCACAAAGCTAGGCATTTCGGTAGGCAAAGCCACGCAGGTAGAAGTAAGCGGTGAAACGGGGATAATTGGCTTAGATACGAGCACACCGGCATCAATCCACGGACTTGGGATTTCTTCCTCTGCAGCAAAAGATAATTGATATGCTTGCGATGTTTCCGGCAACGTCACAGGCTCAAATTTTGGCACAATGTATACATTGGATACCTCTGCACTGGTATTAAGGGTTTGGAGTATAACATCGCGGTCATCAGTGATCGCCTCTGAACATTGATTGATTGGATTAATAGGTGGCATTTCATTTGTATCTATTGCGTTAATTGAAGATTCAACCTGCTCCATTTGATGATCAATAAAAGACTGTGCCATCGCCAATTTTTGTGCCCGTTTCGATTTCTTTTTGCCCTTGTTGAGCAACTGACGCTGATGTGTCTTCCTGTGCGACTTCAGGCTGTGCGAGGTGCTGAATGATTTCTGGCAACTGTTCTCCTGACAGGGATAGGGCTTTTCACCGGTGTGCGTGCGCTTGTGCGTCTTTAAATGATGAGAGGCTGTAAACGCCTTGCCGCAATCGCCTTCTGGACACTTGTATGGACGTTCCTGTGTATGCGTACGCATATGTTTTTTAAGATCGCTCAAAGTTGTAAAACATTTTTGGCATATTTCACAATTGAATGTCTCGCCGTTGTGCAGACGTAAGTGGGCGTGAAGCCTGATAAAAAGTAGGAAAGTTTTCGATTGTATTATATGTACGTATGTATATTGTATAAAGTATATGTGCGTATGTATGTGTATGTATATGTACATGTTTATTTTTAAAAGTCAATAATAATAATTAACTTATCTTAGTCTGTGGTATTATTATATGTATGTACGTACGTGTATAAATATTCTTGATTTACTTTCGCTTATTCATTATTTCCTGCGAGACACGCAAGGGCGTAGGCAGAGGGGCACACGTTCATTATTATAACGCACTATTTCGCCTTAGAATGGAACTGAGTTGTATTTGTTGAAGTGTTTTCATTGATCATATGCAAAAAAAAAATTTTTTAATTCATCGTGCATTATTTAATCAAAATGTTAGTTTTTTGGCCCCCTTTTGGTAAAAGCTGCCTACGCCCTTGGAGACACGCATTGTAGCTATGTAAATGATATAACGATTTTAACAAAACAATATATTCAAATAAATTATTGTTAATTTCGTAAGATTAATCTACAACACTCATTTATACTTGGGTGTGGTAGTAATAAACAGGAAACACTTTACAAAAAATAGTGATTGAAATAGACCGGTGAGTCCCTGATCAAGATTCGTTTAGTCATGTGTATGTATGTATGTATATACTTTTGTACAATACCGTTAATAACTTGTATGTCAAACAAAATATGACACTAGTAGGTTATAATATAATTGATAACAACCTAATCGAGTAGTACATAGATACATCGTATATACATATAAGTATGTAGGTTTGATTCTTGCTTACCTGTAGCGCGTGTTAAAGGCCTTATCACAACCGGTGACATCACACTCATAGGGCTTCACTTTGGTGTGCACTCGTACGTGTATTTTAAGGCTGTACGAGGTGAGGAAGGCTTTGCCACAACCCTCCTCGCTGCATTTAAAGCTGTAGTCACCTGAAATGCATACATACACACACACTAATTTTAGTGCCCACTCTATTCTTGAAATGTAGAAATATTAAAATATTGTTCCACTAAAATATGCATAATGACGGCTGCTAACACAAGGCAAGTCGAACATAACGGATTTTTACACGCGTGCATTGTGGTAGCTATTTTGACAAATCTCAATATTGGCAGCACTGTTAGTGTTGGTAAATGCCGGCAAACAGAACAGCTGCTTCAATAATTTCGATGCCGACGCGCACGCACGCATGCATACATTTTGTTTAACAATAGCGAACTTTTAAAAAATGAGCGACGCTTTTGAGGAGAAATTAATAAACAGCGTAAAACACCATTCGTGTTTATATAATAAGTCAGATTTTGGTTTTCGCAACCGTTACAAAAGGGACAAAGCGTGGGCCAGTATTTCTGCAGCTTGTGGACAGCCAGGTAGGTTATTATGTGAATATATTGGAAAAAAAATATTAACAAAATATATCCAAAACTTAATTTTATGCAGTTAAGCACTGCCAATGCCGTTGGAAAACCCTTCGAGATGGTTATGTGCGTGAATATCACAAAGACGATATGGATCATAATGTGCAGTGGCGCTACTTTGAACAGTTAAGCTTCCTTAAAGATCATATCAAACCGCGTAGGTATGTCTGTTCGTTTTCTTACATAAAAGTGGTTTTTATATAACTAGATATTTTTCTACATACTAGCACTAATGAAGACTGTCAAGTGGACTTCGAGGTCCTGCCCTCAGTGGACTATGAAAATCAGGATTCGAATTTAAATAATACAACTGAGCTGCCTAAAACCAAATTGCGTAAAATCCAAGATGACGATTTGGCAGCCAACTTAACAGAATATACAAATGAGACGTTCAGTGGAGAGTCTAATTCAGCTGAAATTATAGAAATTGCCAGTGGAAAACAGAACAAATTAATGGAAAACGCCCATGCGGAATTTTTAAAGGTTATGGGTCTATTGGAGGACGTTTTAAAGAAAAAGATAGACCCGGAAAATGATGTCCAGAATAATCCTTCTTCTGCATCGCACTTAGGTGAACAAGATCCATTTTATAAATATCTGGAAAGTATATTGAATCGGGTCGATGAGTTTACGCGAAGTGACATACAATTGAAAATTCTAAATTTTGCCAATGCAGAGGTAAAAAATGCGGGTACACATTAATATAAATAAGACTCATTGTGTGTGTCACAGCTGCGTATTTTTTAAACTTTTAATTAAATACAACTAGTACAAGAAATTGTGGTATAGAACAAACCATTATGTACATACTAGTCTGGCCTAGATCATAACAGTAGCTCCTTTCCTGAAAATCAGCCTCTATTATCATGAAATATTTAAAAGAAGTGCCTTTGCAAATTTATAAAAATTTTACATACATATGTATGTATCCCAGTATATTCCTTTTGTGTAATATAGTATTTTTATGGTTACCAACAGAACTCACCTGTGTGCGTTTTTAAATGCGTGCGTAAATTTCCAATCGTGCTATAGCTGCGATTACAATTCTCATAGTTGCATCTATAACGGCTAAGGGCTTCATCGGAACTCTGCGTGCCGAGCAATTAAATTAATACAAATTAGATTCACATAGAAAAATGTATGAAACATTATGATAAATATATATACACGTGTATTAACAAAGTCGCAAGTTTCAAGAAGTCATTAGGTCGGTAAGTATTGCTAATGGTTGTTAATTGGACGAGTTACAAGAGTGCATGCGATGTAGGAATGGAAAGGTGACGTGCGGGAAGGTAACAAAAGCAATGATAATATTAAGATATATACATATGTATGTATGTGTATTTAAAGTTGCTGAAATTTTGGGACAGACAGACATCAATTAACTACAAACTACGCACCGCGCTACGGAACATTTGGTTAAGAATCAAAGAAAAGCGACGACATCGGCGTATTTTTTGGCCTGACGGCCCCGTTGGTTACATGGCTAGAGTGCTATAAACGTTACTTGCTATCATTATCGATAAATGGCACTACATAGTAAAGCGTTAGTTACGGCACACGTTCAAACATACGCAAATATAAAAAAGATTGGCGCATCTGGACAATTGGCTTTTTGGCAAGCCTGCTCTTGATAGTTGGGGGTACCTCATAGGCCATGAGCTGATCGTCTTCCCTGTCCTTGTGCAAGGCGCCGGGACGTATGCAATGAGCCAGCTGTTCATCATCATCATTGTCTGGCTCATTCTGTTCGTCCACGTAGCTAGAAATTCAGCGAATAATGCAACGATTTATATTTTGAATGTACGAACAAATTGTATATATGTACATATCAAGGGGTTTGCCAGTTGGAAACAAATAAATTGGGGTAGCGCAAAATTTGTGTCAGTGGGCCGTTAAAATGTTGCGCGCTCGTATGTATAGATTAAATGCTCAAATATATACACCAAGTACAATTTATAAGTATATACAATGTATACATACAATGTATTTGCTAAATAAACTTCAAGCAGGCAGATTAGTTATGTTAGAAACAAGACAACCCACAAACAATAATATTATGAACAAATCTTCAACAGAAATAAAGCATTGGATTTTTGCACTGGAAGCCTTTGAGCTTTAATAACCAGATTAATTAATATTTAATATTGTCATGGTCAAAAAACAGACGACACCGAACTATAAAGTAACTAAAAACAAAATATGAGAAAGGAAAGCACACAGACAGAAGAACTGATTGGCAAAACAACAAATGCGTGGGCGACCCCCATCCTCTGACTATTCGAATGACTGACCGAGCGCGGGCGGCCTAAGTTGTGGCCGTAGGACCCACCCCTCCAATACGCCCTTTCTCTATAGACAACCACCCCGACGGCAAACATGTCGAACTGTCGCACAGTGGGGCCTTCTGAATATTTTCTTTACAAAAATCATAACTTCTGAACGAATAGAGATTTTCATTATAATTTCATTGAATTTGAAAGATACAGTTGAAAAATAACTATAGAAAGTTGGATATTTTTTGGATAGTTTTTATACATTTATGTACATACATAAGCTCTTATGTAGGTCAAAAGGTCAAATTTGGGAGTGCATATCCCCTAAAATATAATTTTCATTTTGTTTTTAACCATTAAGTTAATCTCTGGACAAATTTCTATCAGATATGTATTTATATTACTGAAATTACTGATCATGATATTTTTGATTTTTAAAATCTGTTTCAGCCTTAAGGCCCCACTGTGTGTCATCGTCAACAACGTCAAGGGGATTGCACGGGGGAATCGCCTGTAGAGCGAGTGCTGAAAAATGAGAATTATGATTGAAGAACACTCATGTTTATAAAAATAGAATGGACGTACTAAGAGCTGAGGGAGGGCACGGCAAGGGAAAACAGATGAAAAATTTAAAAATTATTGTATTTAACAAAAACTAAAATAAAAGTAACAAGAGAAATTATATGTTTACTTCGACCTAGCAACAACTAAGCAAGTCGCTCTCAATTTTTGAAAGAAGATATCAATACGATTACTGTTCCACACGAAAATAAGAACATGTAAAAATTCCCCCCAATTATATGAGTATGAACGTATGAAAGTACCTTTTTGTACAGCGGTGAATAAAAAATGTAAAAAACAAAGGGAATGTATTCGAATAGAATGTACTCTTTTACAAGCATCAGATTGTGATTGATTCCATCTTCTGGCCATATTCCACCTTTAACCTTTTGACATTTTTATTCTCTGTACTTGAAGGGTATATTAGATTTGTGGTTTGTGCAAAGTTTTTAACAGGCAGAATAAATTTTAAGCCCACCCCACTGCCGGGCTCGATTGTAAAGTTCTATCTTGTTTCAAAATGTAAAATTTAAATAAAATATTTTTAAGTCGTTCAGTCACTAACTTATTATAGTGATGCCCATCGTATTTACTTTAAAATCATCCTTCTAAGAAAAAGCTTCTACGTAGTTCATAATGCACGAGCATAGTGTCGGGCATGTTTTCACAATTACTACCGTTTAGCTGGTACATTTTTTGGCAACTATGACGGAATTATAAAAAGTCTAACAGAAGCTTATCTACTTGATGAGAATTTTAATTATCTTATCTATTTTTCTTTTCGTTTTCAATTCGGTTGCACTTATGTTAGTATCTCTGTTAATTTATAATATAGAATACATTTTAATTGTTATTGTCTAATTCATATTTTGGCCAGTTTATTGCATTAATTAGATATAATACCAATTGTATAACGCTCCGACAATTTGAACATCTTTAAAAAGTTTTTGATAAGATTCGGATTATTCGACCACAACTGCGTCAAACCCATGCGTGTATGAATATACATATGTACGTCTGTGTATGAATATATGCCTTATGCATGAATATATTCTTTCCTATGTTGGACTAGATGGATTTTTAAATTCACAAGTCAAAATTCGCTTTCTTAAGGTAATCATTATGCATCGATGAAAACATAACAGATTTCATATAAGACCTATTTGTGGACATTTTAAATACGTACATACTCGTACATTGTACATATATGGACAAATATACCCACGTTTCTCATATAAGCGTATAGATAAGGTATTGTGACTCAGTAATGGGCTCAGAATAGTCTAATGGGGTATCACATGTAAAAATTGGGTTCGGAAATAATTTCACAATAGCCTAAGAAATTGTATCTCAAATAGAAAACCGGCACTTTTAAACAAAAGAAAGTATGAATGAATTTGTATAGAGAACAAAGTTTTTCTTACATTTTTTTTAATGCTAAAATTTGTATGTATAGTACATGGTGGAATGTATTTATGTATGTATTTTTAGAGTGGAGGGGGGAATTCTAAATGCGTTCATCGCCGATGCTATTTTTAGACCAAACAAACCATTTGGATACAATCATCGTCCAACAACAAGAAAAAGCACCATTAGACAGCGGCACAGCTGCTGCAAAACATGGCATACACAACAATAACAACATGCACAAGACCGTTACATAGCCATATTTTTAATATACAGTATGTATGTGTAATATACTATATATACAATTTGTATACCCTTCACCGAAAAATGTAATGTCAAATGGTTTGGTGCTTAAGTTTGTAACACCCAGAAGCTAGAATAGTGGACTACACTTTATAGCTAAGTACATACGAGTTTGGATGAACATATGCATGTATTTATGTGTATGATCACCAGTGCACGACGAATCAAAATCGTGATGTTTGCCTGTCTGCTTCAATAACTAATCCCCCACTGTTTTAGAGCTATTGCGAGTAAACTTTGCACTCTTTTTCTCATTTCGGCGGACATAGTAAGTATGTAGGTAAAATTTTAAGTTAACTATATCATGAAGCTGTCACATAACCTAAATAATGTAAAAATTGCTTTTAAATAAAACATATATATAATATAAATAAATATAAATATATGGATGGAATGACACCACTCGTCGTTTCCGAATGGTGACCATGGATGACCAAGTGAAAAAAAGTTACAAGTGCTTTTTATGGAAAGATAAGATAGTGCAGAAACACGAGACTATATGTGTAGTTCGTTGAAGTACATATATAGTCGGTGGAAGATAAATAAAGAGTTGCTGTGGTGGTGAAGGGTATATAGCTTCGTCTCAGGCGAAGACTTTGTAGAGCGTTTTTATTTTTGTTTTTTGGTTTAAAGAGTAAATTGAATTTGTTTTTGTGGGCGTCGGCAACACAAATCAGGCAATTAGCAACAACATGCAGTGTTTAGGACACTTTGCGAACGCGTCTTGTAATTTGGACATTGGAACTTGAGAGATCTGCTAATTTTTGGCTAAGACGATGCGACAGAAAGAGCAGCCGTGCCATTTTCACTCAATATTTGGCTCTAATTAGTTGCAGAGCGAACACTAGAGGGGAAACAAAAAACACATAATTTTAAGACAAACGGACATTATTTGTGTGGGCAGTGGATAGAATTGGACAGCAAGGCATGCATAAATAAGCGACGTAGCCGTCGACCCTGGGCATGTCCGACGGAGTGAGTTGAAGTGCACACACACACACACACCTGTCGGCATATCTTAATTGGCAAAAAGTGAGCAACAAAAGGAAACAATGGTCAAGCTTTAAATAAAACTATAAATTAAAAAACAAAGCAGTGCAATCCAAAAGGGGCGGGCAAACGCAGAGCGGGACATGCAGGTGCAGGCGTAGGCGGGGAGCAGTGCAAAGATTACTACCTCGTCTCAGTGGTAAAAATATAAGGAGAAGTTGGTGCAGATAGTCCAGAGGTGTTCATAGTCACAGGCCCATTATCACAGGGCGTTATTGCTGATGTTGTTTCAGGTATCGGTGCCAGCATGCTGAGGGACACCACAGTGGGTGGTTGCACTTGGACGATTTTGTGATCTTGATCCAGCTGGTATTCCAGCGTGAAGCAAATGTCGTCCAGATTGTACATGGACATGGGCACTACTTCATCGTTTCCCGTCGCCGTTGTTGTCGTTGTCGCGGTCATTGAAATGGATGCTGATGCTAATGGGGATGCGTCTGTGCATTGTGTTTCATATGATGAAATGACCGCTGCTCCCGCTGCTGCAGGAGGTGAGGATGACTTGGGCGTTAGCAACAATGACACATGACTGTCCATCGGTCGCAGTGTAAACAGCGCATCGTCGTCAACGTTATCGTCATCGTCCCCTACGTCCACGTCATTGTTCATGTTCATTTGAATTAGCTCCGACGTCACTGACGGCGCACTGAACAAGCTGTATGTTGTGGCCGTCAGCTCGTCGGCGGCCTCTAGTTCCAAACTTAAGCCTAATGATTGGAGCACCTGTTGATCGACAGTTTGTTGACTGCTGCCATAAATGCTGTTTGTATCGCTGCCGCCGCCAGCACCCATGACCTGCACAGTGCCTGAGCTTTCAATGCTGCTACTACTGCTGCTGTCCGACTCCAGGGTGGGCGTTAATATTGATGCAAGGGTTTTGTTATGCGTAGAATGGCAATTTTTCAGCTCCTCGAGGCTGTTGAAAAGCTGAGACGTAAGTGACGCAGAGTTTGGCGGCGAGCCCGATCCCGATAGCGTATCATAGTCCCGGCTGTCTGATAACGAATTGCTGTGATTGTCAGACTTCCAATCGTAATCTGGTTGTTCTTTTGGTTGTTTTTCATCGCTGCTTGAATCTACTTTGTTATGTTTGTTCAGGTTATCGATGCTGTCGAGAAGCAGTGTGGCCAATGATGGAGAGGTGGGGGGCGATTCCACTCTTATTCCAAATTCTGGCTTCCAATCGTGTGCCTGTTCGTAGTCAAAGTATAGTTGTTTTGTTCGTACCCTGACCGATTCATTGGTCTTTGCATCCATTTTGGTGTTTGTTAAATTATTAATCAAGCAATACACCCACGCACTTAACAAACGCAAAAGTTATCGTATGCAGTTTCACTTATGTATGTATATCACTGTTCTATGCCGATTGTATATATGTATATATATATAACAAAATATATACATACAAATGTATGTACATATATGAATTGCAAAAGATATTGGAAATTTTCCTATTAGAACAGCCGCAACGAACACGCAGCGCAATAACAAAGATAAGACTGAGAGATTGGTGCTGTAAAATGCGGTCGTTGAAACAGCTGATTGCGATGTATAAATGTTTAGAGAAAGAACATCGATATTTTTGACTCATCGATATTATTTGTCTGTTTAGTGGTGCCTATGTGTGTTGGTGGGCGGAATTAGTGATAATGAGAAGCAAATGCCCCATTGCACAATTAAAAGCGAATTGCAAGTGAATTTTAGGTCAAAAAGTGCCGGCGCCGAGAAAGCAGTATGTCCCAATTAAAGGCGCCCTCGCTGCAATCTCTACTGGAGTCAGACCGAGGCTCCACTGACAGCTTGTTGGCCGAATCGCTGCAGCTTGATTTTGAGGATGTGAGTATGTACAAAAAGGGTGAGGGTAAAAACTCATAAATGATTTCTTATCTATAGCTGGATGATGCTGAGTTCCACATACCGCCCACTGATGTCCTGCCCTCGCTGGAAACAGTGCTAAGCGAATTTGAGGCGGATTCGGATGTGGCCTCAGAAGTGGGTGTACCACATGCTACTCCCACTCCTTCAATTGCCGAGGATAGCGGAGTGCGGGGCGATGGACGTGGAAGTGGGGGCGGCGGCTCTATAATGCGCTACACTCTGTTGCATGGGATCTCGGCTCAGCTAGCATCGGCAGCTGAACGAGTAAATGCTGGTGCAAGCAGCGCCTGTGCCGTGAGTGCCTACATAGCCGTTGGCACGTCGCACGGCCACATACTAAACTTTGATGTCACACAAACGTTGCGCTGGGCGCATCAGGATAAGCACAGTCAAGGGGCAGTCTCCACGCTGGCATTTAATGTGGAATCGACGCGCTTACTTGCTGGTTATGCACGTGGTTTGGTTATCATGTTGGACACCCAAACAGGGGATGTGCTACGGGAGCTTTTTGATGTAATCACTCCTAATACGGGGGTATTGCATGTTAAGTGGACTTCATACTCTTCTTTGGCACTGTGTGCTGATGCCGGTGGTTCTGTATGGTCACTCAACTTTACAAGAAAACTGGGGATACGTGGTTGTAACTCCCGTTGCCTATTCTCGGGAGCTCGTGGTGAAGTCTGCGCTGTGGAACCCCTCATCATGGATTCGCAAGGACGTCATGAGCTAGATCAGTACTGCATTGTGGCATTAGCCACACTCTCTAAATATTTTATTGTCACAGTACGACCACGCCTGAAGGTCATCAAGTACCATGCGCTGCAGGGCCCAGCTGATTGCTTGCCGCTTCTGGCTTGGCACCTGGTGCTCATTCAAGCAGCAGATACAACGCGTTCTGTGGATCCTGTCATTGTGGTTGGTCGTGGCAATCAGCTCTTTTTTCATCAGCTGTTTATGGCCAATGGACGAATCACACTTTTGTATCTACGTCATGTACAGCTCCAGACTGGTTTGCTCTCAGCCCACTGGCTGGGCCCAAAGTCGGTGGCTTCGCTTGACACTTCAGAGATTTTGCATTTGGTGGACGTGCGCTCTAGTAAGGAGCTAGAGTGCATGGACATGGCCAATGCGGGTCTGGTCTATGGATCAGCACAGTTTAAGGGTCTGGCCACCGGTGGAAATGTTTCTCCCGCTTTTGCGCTGGCGGGCACAAATGCCTGTTACAACTCAATAGTGTCTCGTGGCACACAGCTCTATGTCCTTGGCGCTCGTTCGCTGCATATCATTGGCGTGCGTTCCTGGTCAGAACGTATTAGTTACTTGGTAAGTGTGGCAACTACTTTAGATCAAGAAATTAATTTTGACATATTGCCAATGATAGGTGAAGAATCATCGCTGGCAAGAGGCTTGCCAACTGGCGCTGGATGGTTACATTGCATCGGCTGAGCGTCCGCGTAAACGTGCCCAGGCCAAAGAGCGCATAATTGCACTCTTTGGTGAGTACATTGCGACAACAACACGAGTGCCAGAGTATTGTCTAGGTGCAATTATTCAGTGTCTGATTACGGTTGGCGAGCTGGACCTGCTGTGGACGAAGCTGTGGGAGCGCTTACACAACAATTCCGATCTCTTCTTGCAGCACATTTCGGAGCACATTGAACAGGATAACATACGGACAGTTAATCCCGTGATCTCGCAAGCTCTGGTCGACTATTGGTTGCAGCATTCGCCTGCGAAACTTGAGCAGTTGATACTGAAGCTGGACTGGATGTGTTTGGACTTGAATCAGGTGCTCAAGGCCGTGAAACGTCATAATTTATATCGTGCTCAGATTTATCTCAACACACATGCGCTCAAAGACTATACCGGGGCCTTGACGGAGCTACTCCCGCGACTTACTCCGGAGCAGACGCAACTGGGCAATTGCTTGCTGGTATATGTGTCAAGTTGTTTAGCAGGACGTGGCTATCCTAGTGGTGATATACCTATGGAGCAGGTGCAGCAGGTCAAACATGATGTGTTGCGCTGCCTTACCTCGCAACATTCCTCTGCCGGGGACGTAGAGGAGCTGCCCTATCCCTATCTGCGCGCTCTGCTTGCCTTTGACACGCGCGAGACCCTCAACGTCATATCACTCGCATTCCAGGAGCCCGAGTTCAACAACGAGCTGGGTTATTCACACCGCAAACGCATCATCTATATCCTACTAGAAATAATGACGCCAGAGAAAGCAACTGTAAGTTAAAAAAGTGGATGTCATTGCATTAGCTTTATCTTTGACTTCCTTTCTTTCAGTGGTCGCAAATCGGCTGCTTGCTGAATTTTATTGCCCAGCAGATCTCGACGCAGTGTCTACCAAGAGATAAACAGCTTCTTGAGCAGGTGCTCGGATATCTGGCAACAGAGCATATCACCAACGAGAGCGTGCGTCAGCATTCGGAGCGCGAGAGCGCTTGGCATGAGCTGCTCTCAAATAACTGTCTTGCTGAGATCAGCAATGATATGGAGCAATTAGAGCTAGCTCGTCGCGCTCGTTGTTTTTATGTGGTCGAGTATCTCCTAGATCGACTGGGGCGCTATGACAATATTCTTGAGTGTTATATTGAGAATAGTGAGAGACATGAAACAGTTTTTGCTTATATGGAGCGACATGTGAGCACGCCAGAACGCGCTATATATGCCCAGCTTAGTCTTCATCTACGCCTGCTGTTACAGATCAACGCTACAGAGATAGTGCGTATAATAGCCCTTCATTATCCTAAGCACATTGATGAGCTACTACAGTTGCTAAGCGATTCCAATGATGAGCGGTTACTTTTTAGCATGTTGCAGAGTTTGCATGCTCGCCAGGCGCCGTTAACTTCGGAGCAGCATGAAAAACTTTTAGAGCTATACTGCAAGATGCAATCTCCCGACGAAGTTTATCAGTTTCTACGCTCTAATGTCGGATATCGTGTGGAACACGCCATTTCTATTGTGCAGGCTCGTGGTCTCACAAAGGCCGTCATTTATTTATATGAGCAACAGCAAAGCTATACAAAAGCTTTCGAACTCTCCATGGAGTTGTTACGAGAAGCTGTGCAGCAGGACTCAACAAACTCAGCGGAGATGGCCAAGCAAATTGCAGAACTGCTGGCACGCGCCGCCACCTCACTGCCCACCGAAGAGCTGGAGCATAGCTGGTTCGATTTTCTACAGTTTATTCTACCGAACCAATCGTTGCAGGCTATCACCAAGTCTATGTTGCACGAAGCCTCGCAGCACATCGATCTGCATAATCTGGTGCAATTGATCATGAATACGCACAATTTGTCCACCAGCTTTGGGGACATTAAGGACTTGCTAATGAGCATGCTGGTGAGCTCTCGCCAAGAAACTGAGGCGTTGCGTACAGCGGCTCAAATTCTTTGCGATGATCTGCACGCGGATTTCGCTGAGCAGCGGCAAGTGGCCCGGCGTGGCCTTTGGGTGACGACCATGCGATGTGTGCTGTGTCGTAATCGCCTGACAGAGCAGACACATGTGCTGGCCCTAGGCGCATGCGGTCATGCCATGCATGAACGATGCCTCGACGAATTAATGTCCGATAGTCAACAATGTCCACGTTGCAAAGTTGGCTTGGGTACAACTCAGCCCCTGCTGCAATTATCCAATCCTAGTCAGCACACCTTTACCCAGGCGGGTAGCCTTGACATGAGTGTTCTGCAGCTAAAGGCGCCGCCAAGGCGGTTCTGTTGATCTTGTTCCCCACTTTCATATTCCTAATTTCTTCTTTAAAATTAACTCGAAGGGGGTCGCCAAATCGGTGGAAATATAACTTTTTAATGGCTAAATTGATAAAGAGGCCGATATTATTAGGACTACAAAAAATTAATCGGAGCTAATTGGAGTTCACTTTACTTAGCTGCCATATAGGGAAGTGGTGGACGCACAGTCAAAAAATTTGCATAGAGATTATAATATGAACCATGTCAGAGGATTTTTGTTTTTCAACATAAAGTCGTAGCATATGTACAAATAAAACACTAAAATTTGCTAGCTGTGAGAAACGAGGGTTACGTTAAAATTTAAGACAAATTAGTCGTTAAAGGAGTGGCCCCCATATGTAGCTTAATTGGACCTTTTCCCACAACCAAATTTACAGTTTTCTTTTGGCAATATGTACTTTGCTTCTGATATTCTGCATAAAATTGTTAAAGAGAAACTGGCCATTTAAATCTTGATGTATTTAAAAACTGTAGAGCTTGAAAGAATACGTACATCGGTATGCACCATGTTTATATAATGGTTCGATCGCCCCGTCTGCGTTTAAAACCTATGAATATATTTTTGTTTTGTAATTTTGCATCCAAACCGAAGTTTCAAGCTGAAAGATACCAATTCATAAGCACACCGTTTTCTTTTTGTTTTTTTTTTTTTTTTAGTACGGAGACGTTTGACTGTATATATAATTATTGTACCACTCATTGTTACGGTGTAAATTTACAAATCTACATATGCATGTAAAGTATTATTTATTAAATCACAAAGATGTTCTCAAAAACCCCCGTTTTTGTGTTCATTGTGGCAGTAGCTTAGCAAACTGGTGGCCTGTTTGTACAGTCCAGTGGAAAAGTGCTGTTGTAGTATTGTATGAACTCCGTACATTGCTCAGCTGCATGTGAACAAGAATGATGGCATATTATTGCAAAGATTTTTGGACTACTTACCCTTGGGGAACGCCAGCGTCTCGTACTGACGCAGATTGCGCATCTGGAAGAATCGATAGACGCTATGAAAGATCAGATCGTCTTTTGTCTTGTGGGCCGCTTCCAGAAATTTACGTGCTGGTATTTTGTCCATACCCATCGAGTTTTTAGCTAAACGCAAGGCATCAATTACCTTGCCCTCACCAAGCATTACTTCAATAATTATCTGCAATATGCAATTCATATTTTAAATGTGATTAGATAAGTGAATTTTAAGTTCAAACGTGACTCGGTGCTTACCTCATGGGCTTGAATTTTACTGAGCATATCCAGCGCCACTTGTGAGATAGCCGTGTCCACATCGGAATGGGCAAGTAAAAAGCAGGCAATGGACTTCGATTCTAGCAGCATCGAGTAGCTGACTAGCCGGCGTAGCGTGTCGAAGCTGCGATTGTTTATAAGTTCACTAATGATCATTTTGCTTAGTTCCTCTTGGGCGGCAATATTGTATTTATTTAAGGATTGCAGATAAAGCATCAATATAGTCTCAGCATATGGACGCTTTGCAATGGGCTGGAAAATTTGGGCGTGCATATCATCCTGCTCTATAAGAACAATAGGTGGCGAAGCTTGTTTGCTTGACGAGCTCTTAACATTCGAAGGCTGGGCTGTTTGATTCTGTAGCTCCAAGTGTACCCAGGACCTGCGAAAATGACGAAAATAAGAGGAATATTGGCATGTTATTGGGCGCATAGTTACGCATAAATCTTATTGATCTTGTTGAAAATAGTCTCCAGCACTGGTAAAAGCGTGCCCTTGTATTGGTCGTCCACCAGTTGGCGCAGAGTTTTCAAAAGGGCTTGTTTGCCACTGCTGCGCTGCAGCAGAAACTCCGTGAGGCGTATGCGATCCGATAGCATGTTGCAAAGAGAATCAATGCACAAATTTAAATACCACATGCAGCCTAGCTTGGCATCGATCACAATGTTCGGCTGGAACAGCACCCAGTTGATGGAATCTATTAAAGGAGGGCGACAGAATGCTACAAAAATTGTTATGTTATGAAATTACCATCGCTTACATAATTCACATTGCAGAATTTGGCCATCGGGCGAGAGGGAGGGCAACTTCAGGCCAAAGGGTTTGATGGAACGACCTGGTGTGATGGGCGCATGGTAGGTCACATTATTGATTACTTCGCCGCTTAAGGAGATGTCGAACAAAAGCGATGTTGCCGTTGCCTGATGATGTACCACAATCAAATTGTCGACGGTGTTGATGGCAAAACGTCCAATCAAATCCAGACGCAACACATGACACTTGCGGGGTGCCAGACCCGGCCCATTCAGCAGATGAACCTCCACCTCCATCATGCCCGTGCTGCTGTTCGACTGCAAAATAAGCACAGCCATTGCGCCATATACCTGACCCAATGTCACCTTGCTCTCCTGCACCTCGCGACCTGGATTGCCCACTGGAGGAAATCATGGTATACACATTATTGAGCGCTTGTTAGCGTGCATACTTGGGTACTTACAGTCTACCTTGGGCAGTCGTGTGATAACCTTTTGCTTGACAAGTACCGGCACCAGATTGTTGCCCTCTGCGGTGCAAAGAAGCGCTACATTGGCATCACAGCACCAGGCGAACCATTTGATGCTGATGCTCAACGCCTTTACGGAACGCACTTGCCGCTTCTCTGGCAGCACGCAGAAAATCTCTACACCTGTGTTAGAGATGAGTGCGCACTCCCGATTGTGTACCCAAACAAAGCCATAGATGAGGGTTTTTACCTGATGGGTGATAATGTCCTGCAGCATGGGTTGTTCGCCCTGAAAACAGACGAACTCCACAGCGTTCTCCTTGCGTTGCACAGCTAAAATTTGATTATCCGGCGAGAACTTAATCGAGCGTATGGCGCCGCCACGATCATTCATGCAAAAAGATATGACTGCATCCTCTGTTGGACCTTTAACAACCACACCCGTAGCACCCCCGGAGCGTACAGCAAATATTTGTTTGTTGGAATCGTCGAAGAAGACATTGGTCAGCTGGCTTACGGCATCGAACCTTATGGGATTGCTTGTGAGCTCTATATAGTTTAATGCATTGACATTATCCACCATTTTTCCAATAACAAATCTCACAAAATGTAAATGGAATACAAAAATCACAACTACACCTCCTACTAACTAAACAGCTGTTGCGATATTTTCCATTGATAATAGCACGTAAACAAACTAAGAAGAAATATTATTCGTGGTGTACACACTGGCAAAGTAGCATTTGTTTACATTAATGTGGTGGCGATTGCAGGGTCTTCTTAGCAAATGTAAATACAAAATCCACAACAGTTTCGAAATCATACGTTGATATGGACATTTTGAAAAGATGCCGCGTTTGCAGAACAATAATCAATGGGGATAGCTATAATCTGTGGGATAACCCAGATCTTGCATATAAATATAAAGCCTGCTCGGATCTGAATCTGACAGAAGAATCCGGCGAACATGGAGTACCTAAATGCCTGTGTCAATCTTGTTTCGACAATGTGGAGGAGTTCTTTGCATTTCGTAGTTTGTGCATTGAATCCGATGGATATTGGCGTTCTCAAGAACGCAATTCTCCAGGGGTTTTCGTTGACGAGAAGCCCAAGTATAATGTGGAGGAAGAAAATCCATCTCCATCGGATGTTGAGCATATAGAAATGGAGGGAACTATTGCTGAGCTGGTAGATACAGCAGTTAAGAAACCAAGGGGTAGGCCATTAAAAAGTAGAAAGGCGTCTACCGATGTGGTGACCATAAACGAAGATGCTAAATCACACTCTAAAGATGAAGGAGAGACAAAGGTATGTTGAGATGCATATTGGATATTAATAACTCTTGTTTCCTTCCTAAGGTTCAGTCTTCAGGAAAACGTCTGCAAACGCAAAACACACCCATCTTTCAATGTGACATCTGTCCAACCCGCTTCTTTGTGGAGCACCGACTCGTGGCGCACAAACGATTACACGACGGTCTTGTGCCATATCCCTGCACTCATGAAGGCTGTGAGCGTGGATTTAATCGTCTGCATTGCCTATCGGAGCATTTAAAAGAACATGCCGGGACCAGCTGCTGGTATGCCTGTGAGCAAGAAGGCTGCACAAAAACCTACAAGCACAAACCGACGCTGGTCATGCATATGCGCAAGTCTCATAAGATGGGACCCGAGCCAAAGAAACATGTCTGTGAGTTTTGCGGCAAGGTTTTTAAATCCTCAGCTGTACTCAAAGATCATTGTTATACGCACAAAGACCAGTCGGAGCTTCCGCACGCGTGCGAGGAGCCGGAATGCCTGCGTCGCTTCTCCAAAAAGGAGAAACTTAAGGTCCACATGCTGCGGCATGCGGGGATAAAGAACTTCACCTGTCCCTACTGCGGTATGCGCAAGACAACTCGCAACGAGCTCAAGATTCACATCAATTATCATACTCTGGAACGTACCTGGCCTTGTCGCTTTTGTACTAAGGTCTGCAACAGCGCCGGTAATCTGAAAATGCACGTGCGCACTGTTCACGAGCGTGCCAGAGACTATGCATGCAGTCATTGCGATCGAACGTTTGCCAAGCCGGATACCCGAAAATACCACGAGATGACACACACTGGCGAGAAACCGAATGAGTGCCTGGAGTGTGGCAAGAGATTTACACAGCCTGCTGCGCTACGAACGCATCGTAAGATTCATCAGCGTCAGCGCGAGAAAACAAATACGTTGTCGAATAGAAAGAGTCCTTGTGACGAAGATAACCTTGCATAATTAAGATGCACCCCTCTCGACTACAGCCATTCAACTAAAATAAACTTTGCCGTACCAATCATTCCTGTGACAGTTATGTTATCTATGATGTTGATCACCAATTTTGATAAAACGCCAGTATTGATGAGACACTATAAAAAACTAACAAATATCAAAATTAATTACGATGCTGAAATAACAAAAGTTGTTTATAATTTGTTGAACTGATTGTATGGCTACTATAAGATATATTGCACTGATCATCATAATATGTATTTTAGATATTTGTGAAGCACAATAAAAACTCATAAGTACCAATTGCTAATGTTTTATTATTATAGCTTATTATAGCCTGTACCCAAAGGCTACATTAGTTTTGTACGAATGTATGTAACACACAGAAGGAGGTCAGGATGACAAGACATGTCGATATAGCCATGTCCGCCTGTCCGTCCGTCCGTCCGTCTGTATGAGCGCAAGGATCTCAGAAGACACAAGAGCTAGAATAACAAAACTTGGTATCGAGGTTCCCCTAAGCCCTAGGCAGGTCAAGTTTATTTTTTTATTCTGATACACCCCCCACTCCCCCGCAATTCGTGTTTTTTTCCATAACTTCCGTAATTCTTGGAATTTTGGAATCAGTTTTAGTAGTTACGTCCAGTTAGTGCTTATGTGTCCGTATGCCAAGTTTTACTTGTAGGTCCATTCTGAAGAAAGTTGTAGCCATAAATAAAATCGCTGCCCATACTATGCTTGCAGCGCTGCCCGCAGCTGTTGTTGTTTTTGCTGCTTCGGTTCAACTTTGTGCTGCATACATTTTATTTATTTATTTATTTATTTATTATACATACACGCATATAAACACGCATAGGCACGTGCTGTATGATGTTAAAACTGAACATAAACAAGTCTTCTAATTAAATTTAATTAATTAATTCAATTTTTTGTAATAATTTAATTTTTTTTAATTTTCCTTTTTTGTGGAGAGTACAGGCTATTATCAACGGCCCAATAACTGGTCAACTAGCTCATATAACGAGGATACCCATTTGATCATTTTTGTTTATGGCTTCAGTTTCCGGTAGTCCCAAGGCCGAGCCTTCGAATTAGTAGGGCCCGACATACGATAGCAATGTTTTTCGGTATGTTGACCTATCACGGGTCGTAGCTCCTGAAAATCAATTTATTTTGCTACCACAAAATAAAACATCAAATATCTTTTACAGAGAACCTCTGACCTAATAAAGAATAACAACAAAATCTAAAAACGAACAAAATAAATAAAAATAGATTTAAATGCGAACAAGACAGAACGCTACAGTCGAGCAAGCCTCAGCAAAAAGAGGAAGAGCGAACCTGTTGCTGCAGTTTGGGGGGGTTGTGGCGAGAATTTGTTTCGCTAATAACTTTTCTCGCAAGGACCTCAGAAGGTACAAGAGATAGAGTTACCAAACTTGGCGCCAAATCTGATATTTGTATTGTGAAATACTCAGAGCACTCTTCTTCGAAGTCATTTAAAATTTACTTCTGTCAAAAAAGCAATTGAACCGGTAAGAGCAATATTTTTTACAACTATTAAAAGAATATTAAGTACATCCTTGAACTTTGACTTTGGTAATAAAGCACAACACTTGGTTATTGTGGTACGCTGATACAATGAAATCTGCCTCTGAAATCTTCCAGTGGCGAATGGTAATGTGCATTTTGTATCCAGTAGCCGTAGGGTATACATATTAGGTTTGAACAAAGTATGTAACAGGCAAAAGGAAGCATGCCCGAGACAAAATTGATTAAAACAATACGCTTCATTTTTGAAAATGTTTGTCAACTTCTATCGTGTAATTCGAATTCGTATTAAAAGAGCTCGGCCTATAGTTAATCGTTAACTTATAATGATGAACCTTGTCATACGGACTCATAATCACTAACTGAAGGTATTTGCCAAATTTAAGTGAAAATTCCATTACGGGAAAAATACTAATTGCGGTGGACAGGGGGAAGGGACGGAAATTTCAAAATACACATTTTCTGCGTATTCATATAAGGCATCGGGACTAAAATTTTGTGTTCCTAGTATTATAGACTCCGAGATATAAGTGATTATACGAACGGAAAATCGCAAAATCACCCATAGGGGGGAAGTGGGGGAAAATCAAAAAAATAAAACAAACTTGCACAGCGCATCTTTGTGCAAATTTTGGTGTCTCTAGCTCTTATAGTCTCTGATATCCAGGTGTTCATACGGAGAGACGGACTTACAGACAGGGATAGATCGATTCGTCTTGCCATTTATTTAGTATTTATTTATTTATTTAGTACATCAACAATAATTCTGTCGATTATATTTATTAAAATATATTTTAACATTTTACATACAAGGTGCGTTCGAAAGTAAAGAGGCCTTTTTGAATCTAGCGCCCCCTGGTGGCGCTATCTATATGTCGACTGGTGCGTTAGAATCTGCAATCTTTATCGATTGTCCAGTGAGAATTTCATGACATTTCATCAATTGGAAGTGAAGTTATTGCGTTTTAAGTGTCAGTATGTTTGTGTTATCGGTGCGAAAATGAGCTTCGAACAAAGAGCCAACATTAAATTTTGTTTTAAAATTGGTAAAACTTTTACCGAAACGTTTCAATTAATGGAACAAGTTTATGGCGATGATTGCCTATCCCGTAGCAGAGTGCACGAGTGGTTTCAACGTTTTCAAAGTGGTCGTGAGGACATAAATGACGATGAACATGTAGGCCAATCAAAATTCGTCATCACCGAAAATTCCATCGAAACTGTGCGTGAATTCATAAAAAATCAGCCGAAATCATCATTGAAATTGATGGAAGTGGAATTGAACATCTCCAAAACATCGATTTATCGCATTTTGGCCGAACATTTGGGCTTACGAAAGGTGTGCGCACGGTTTGTTCCGCACAAATTGACTGATGACCAAAAATTGCTCAGAATCGATCGACGCTTGTGACCGATTATTTGACCAAAAATCACATTTTAACCATTAACCACTCGCCGTATTCACCGTGCGGCTTCTAACTTTTCGGAAAAATGCATTTGCCCATGAAAGGAAAGCGTTATGCTTTTGGATCGTGCAAAAAGCTGTATTGAAGCAGAAGGAGACTATTTTGAATAAAATAAATTGATTTTGTCGAAAAAACCATTTGTTCTGTTTTTTTTTTTTTTAAGTCCTGTTTACTTTGGAACACACCTTGTATATTAATATAAAAAAATTAAAATGATGATATAACTTAATATAACATTATAATCTCAACTTAAAATATAAGAAAGCCTACGAATAAGCTGTACAATAACGTCTATTAATGCCTCCGACACGTTGGGGGAATTTTATTTGCCAGTTGGCCAGCTATGCCAATGCTGATCAAGAATATGTACATATATGTATTTTGTGGGGTTGCCACGCCCCCTTCTGTCTGTTACATTTTTCACCTCCCGCACACCTAATATACTCTTGTACATTTCATGTACAGATTATACAAAGCATACTATTGTTTTAGGTGTGTGAACCTGTAATATTCAAAAGGAAGAATCAAGGGTGTACGCAGCGTTTTCGAAGGGGGGAAGGGGAAGAACGGTCGTTTGCTTACATTTCTCATTAGAAATGAAAACTTTACTATTTTTACATCGATTGCTATGCTTGTCGATGAAATAAATAAATTAAAAGAGTACGCTTAAAAGTTTAGAATACCCATGGAGACAAGTGATCTTAATTTATGAGTGTAGATTAATGTATATGTACATACTTGTATGTATTCACGTTTTTCCCCGATGGTGTTATGATAGTTGGTTTTAGATGAATAAATAAATGTAATCCTTTGCCCTTTGGGTAGAGGGTATAATGAACTGTCAACGTGAAAAACCTTAAAAAACTATCATTAATAACGAAAGCTAGGGAAGGAGGCAAGCGATGGGCGAAGAAAATCGTATGTACTTGTATGTATATCTGGACTTGTGTAGTTCCCAAGGCACTTCGGGCATATCTCACTTTTCGGAGCTTCATCTAATTTGTCGGCAAGTTCAGCGTTTTATCGAATTAAAATGAATAAAAGCATTAATATGTAAGTACTGTGCCTCCTGTGACCCTTCGAGTATGTGGCTTGTCAACGCCTGTCCGTGGCACTATTTCTGCTCAGTTGTTGTCCGTGGATTCCAATGCAGAGTGCCACTTGGGTATTGATAAATGCGTTGAAAACTAAGCGACCGCCCAGTAGAATTGCCCTATCCGTCCGCACCCACACCCGCACCCATCCATCGCCTAGTTGCTTGCGCAACTCTGACTCAATAAAATAGAACGCCAAATTCAATTGGCGCAATTTTTCATAGTCGCTTGCTGGGATCGCAAATCGGCTTCGACTCTGGGCAGTCTGCTCATGGGCAGCCTTTAAGGGCCCCAGCTGCCTATTGTTGCGCTCTTGGGTCTTAGCTCTTGGCTCTTGGTTCTTGGCTGTTATTGTAGCTGGCAATTGTTCTCGTCTCAAGGTTGTTTATTTTGAAAAATCACCCGAGTTGTACCGCTGTCTGTGCTATCTCTGAGCAAGTGCCGGCGTTTCCTTTGCCACCGCGCCAACATCCTACGACAATGGACGAACACCACATTGCTGTTGACTATGGTCAGGCCGGCTGGGATTTAATTCTATGCTGGACATTTATAAATTGCATTCAATTTATACACAACACGAAAGCGTGATTTTTACATTTTTACAATCTAGCGAATAATAGATCAGCGTCGTATTATTGCGCTCGCTTGTTGTAGCTTTTCTCTTGGTTGTTGTTGTTGTTGTTGCTAGTGCTGTTTTGTTGTTGCTGGTGGTGTTGCTGTTTGAAATTTTTATTGTGTTTGTAGTTGCCCTCCTTGAACTGAGCAGGGTCCACCATTGGTTTTTGTATGGTGGAGGCGCTCATTAAAAAATCTGGCGAAGCCATAAAAATTTAATTCTCACTACGCTGAGCCAGCGAGCGATTGATGCGCCTTCGCATCGATCTCTTTAGTGGCACACTGATGTGGTGGTTCTTTTCAACTGTGGTAGTGTAGCTACAAGTCCTGGAACCTAGCCAAAATTGCAAATGTGACTTGTTAACCTTGAATTGAAACTAAGCAGACAGGCAGCCACAGTCAGGGCCCAAGTCAAAGCCAAAGATATAGCAGGAGCAGGAGTAGCACCGGCACCAGCACCAGCAGTGGCAGCGGCAGCGGCCCCAAGACCCCTGAACAGT